TTCCATGCGGGCTTTGTTGCTTCTGAGCTAGATGGCTGCTTGTTTACCTTCAGGCCTTTACGACCCCAGAAGCTATATCGTTTGATAGCTGGGCACCATCAGCTTTCTTCAGCACATTTGCTTTTGCACCCGCTTTGTCTTCAGCAATTGTGTCGGGAACGTGAGCATGATGGAATGCCAGTTCAATAGAACAGAGTATTTTTGTATTGAGGGAGTACTTGAGAGGAGGCCCAATGTCCATCAGGGCAGTGGCTTTTATATAGCCTAACTGGTACCAGGAAGTCAGGGTTCTATAGGAATTTTAATTTCTGCTCCATACTTTCTCCCCTTTTGATCAGGATTTAAAAAATAGAATCTTAGGTCAAAAAGTTCAGTAATGGTAGGGAGGCACTATTAGTTAGGGAGGCACTATTATTTCTGATCTGATGGCAGAGGAGGCAGTTGTGCATGGCAATTAGCTGTCCATTCCGTGTCCTTGTCCTGGTTTTCTTTCCTCTGTTCTTGGTCAAAAGAGAGTAATTGTAACTTACATGGCCTCTTGCAAGCTTTTATGCTGGGCCTGGAAGGCCCTTTAATTGTTTATTTTTCTTTTCACATAGTAAGAGATTGTATTTATTTGTCTTTATTCTAATATGAGGGGACTTCTGAAAGTTCAAGGCAAAAGAAATTTAAAGATAATGGAATTTTCCCACAAACTTTTGGGAGCCTCCTTAGATTTCTTTATAGTTAGAATTGAGTGTTTTTAAATGAATCTTAAAAGATTTTTAGACATTCTTATTTTTCATTCAGCCTTGTACCTTTCACTTCAAAGGCAACCCCCAAACCAACCCCTCTGCCACGGAGTCCGGAGTAGTGACCCTATACAGGTTTTCAGGACTATAAATCTTTCTAGGAGTTGACCGCTCATCTTACTCCTTCAGAACACCTTGTAGTTTTGAACCACTGGCCTTGCAGTTAACTGAATTATGTGAAGAACAGCATCAAGATTGGAAGAAAACTCATTAGCAGTATAATTAAGCCAGTGTAATTCTTCCAATGGAAGAAGACTCATTAACAACCTGTAATTTCAGGGACAGAGAATTATATTGGTTTCTGTTCTTTTCAGAAGTTAAACCTGGATTAATTTATATGAATCATTGGTTTGTTTCAGCTCTGCCCGAAGTTTTTACATACAAATTCTACTAGTCACACTTGGCCATTTAGTGCAGTTGCTGAATTGATAGGTATGTAAATTGGAATTTCATATCTCTTATTTCTTATTTGTTGCTTGCAATTGTAGTTTAAAAAAAAACTTATGGAAAAATTATATACAAATGTACTTAAAAAGACAAACCAACATATCTTAAATAATAACATTATTGATAATCTAGCGTAACATCTATTCAAATCCCTGACTAGCCTTCCTTAGTACTATACGAATTTCATAGTGTCTAGGAGTTGATTTGCTAAACTCATAAGGCATTTATATTAAAAATATTTTTATTTAAGTTAATGAAAGAAATATGCCTGTTGTCAAAAGAAGGTTTTTGTGTTTCAGTAGCATAAATCTATGTATAACTTTCAGAGTGGATTCATTTTTTGTGGTATTAAAAAGAGTAATGTTAGACTTGTGTTAGTAAATTCTTGCTTTTCTGATATGGTTGATGATAGAGATAAATTCACATTTTAATAGTGTTTAGGTAAAGAAAAGAGGTAAATTAGTGACAAAATTTGTATTACAATGGGGAGCATGTTTTTGAATAGGGCATAATTATTACACATAATTATTTTTACAATTTAGACCTATGTTTGAGTGACAGATAATAAAGGAAAATTACATTAATAGAAATTCTTAGGTATACTTTAGATTCTTTATAATCAAGAAAGGGTCTTATCTTAAGTCATCAGAAAAGAGAAGGAACTATTCAGTACCTTCCTGCTCTGTGGTGGTTACAGTTTTGTAGGTGTCCCAGCTAACATGTGCTGTCGAGGTGTGGGTGGTTGTGGTACCCTGGAGTGGATCTGCTGCAGCATCACAGCTATTCGTGATCATTATTTTGTTTATGGCAGTGTAAAAGAGCTACCCAACCTGAGGTTGTTAGTAAATGTCATATTGTAGCCCTAGGTCGGGATTAGACCAATTGAACATGTATGTCATGGTCCTCTGTCAAGTAGCAGATCTTTTAAATGTAGACTGCCTGATGAAAGGGTAGTGTGAGAACCATTATTTATATTAATATAAAGACTTCAAAATATACCTCAAAAGGTATTTTCAGTCATTTACCGCCACTGTCATTGAGTTGGTGCTGATTCATAGTTACCTTCATAGGACAGAGAAGTCTGCCCCTTTGGGATTTTTGAGGTTGTAGATCTTTACCAGATTGGACAGCCTTCTCTTTCTCCCTCTTTATAGGTTTAGGGATATTTAAATGGATCTTCCATGGTCCACACATTGATTATATCAAGACTACTTTTCAATTTTTTTTCTTTCTTTTTTCTTTTTTTGTGTTCCTTCATACTTGCTTATTCTGAGAGAAAACAAGTATGCTAAATGAGGATGGTAAAATTAGGGGAGGATACAGAGATAATAATAGAAGAGTAAAAAACCTGCAGACACTTTGGTTGTATTTCAAAGGACCACAGTTTGCAGACATGAAGAAGGTAAATCTTCATCTTCGTAGCAGTAGACTGTTGTGTACCTTCCATGTCAACTTTCCTTTATGACAGCTAGGCAGGTTTGTTGGGCAGAAGAGACCTTTCTTTCACCGTTCTCCCTTTACACTTTTTTAATATAGTAGATAATCAGCTTAGCTCATCATATAGCATACGGAAGGCTTTGGGAAAGGGCTAATTGTGTAATAGCCTTTGAATGATTATGTAACAGGATACAGTTACAGGTTTTTAAATCTTTTTTTAAGTTTTTAAATCTTAAAGAGTCCTTAATAATTTCAGCTTATAAAATTCTTTAAGGTGTTCTCTTGAATGTAAAAGGATTCTTTGGAACTAATTGCTTTTCTTTAAATCAAAATCAAAATTTCTTAGAAAAACTTCTATTTCCTAGATAATGCGTATGATCCTGATGTGAATGCTAAACAGATATGGATTGACAAGACAGTAATAAATGGCCGTATATGCTTGACATTCACCGATAATGGGAATGGTATGACTTCCGATAAATTACATAAAATGTTAAGGTATGTAAAACTGTTATACTTTTAAAAATGCTTGCTTTTACCTTAGTCAAGGTTTGCATGTGTTCTACGTGTTCCTTTGTTTTTTAAAAACACTCATTGCTATACCTAAAGGGTGATCTATTCTCTAAGAAACAACTCCATTATTTGCTAGTGTTGCATTAGTACATAGTAGGTGATTGTCACCATTCTTGTAGCCCTTGCATTATGTTTGACTTGTTTTAAATTCCATCATTCCTTTACAGATGCAGCACATTGATATCAGTTGATTGTGCTGTAGTGTAAATTAGTTATAACCAGTTTTTCTAATAAACATTATTTTTGCAGAGGGAATACTTTTAAAGAGACCCAGAAGATGAAGAGGCAGCATAAACTACAAGGCTCTAGGGTTATAGAGCAGTCTGTTAGTATGAGCCTAAAATCTGAAAAGCCAGTGTGCCTGAAACGGAAATTAAACTGTATAGTATAGGTAGAGGGTGGAGGGAGAGTTTGGAAGCCAAGGGTACTTACTGTCCCTCAGATATTTCTTATGCTGCCAAAAAGTCAAGTAAAAACCATAGGCAATTAGGCCACACAGTAGGTATGTGTACAACAAGGAAATTATTCACACTTAGAGAAAGATAGATGAGGCAAAATCTCACGTTCTCTAGATTTCAAATGATTACCTAGCCCGTTAGCTACGGTTTGTCAGGCAACAAGATACTGTGTTAGGACATGTAATCTTTATGTCCCTACCATGTAGATTTGATGATTTTTCATGTCAGAGATTGGAAACACATCCAGATAGATTAACTTTTCCAAGATGGTTCACAGGTTGCATGAGACCAGCATTTCAGCCCAGGCTTTTTTCTTGCCATTATGGTTAAAAAAAGGCAAACAACCCACCAAACTAAAGCATATGCCTGACAGTTACCTTTTTTTCTTTTTAGCTTTGGCTTCAGTGACAAAGTCACCATGAATGGTCATGTCCCAGTTGGATTGTATGGAAATGGCTTCAAATCGGGTTCTATGCGATTGGGAAAAGATGCCATTGTTTTCACCAAAAATGGAGAAAGCATGAGCGTGGGTTTCTTGTCTCAGACCTACTTGGAAGTAATTAAAGCAGAGCATGTTGTTGTCCCAATAGTGGCATTCAACAATCACCATATCCTTTTGGTTTTGCAAAGAAACTAGAAAAGGTGAAATGCTGGCCATTTGATCCTCCTGCTTTCCTCTTAACCCTTGTGTGTGTTTGCTTGCTTAGCCACACCTTCTATCCCAGCCCTAGCCTGTGTCAGCTAGCTGGATTTACCCTCACCGGGGAAGCTACATGGTTGTTCCTTTTATTCAAAGTAGAATTTTGACTCCAAAGTGCTTACCTTAAAGTAGCTCTATTTTATGTTGAATCTCCCACAGTGCTTCTCTTGATTTCAGGCTTATTGTAGTCTAGAAAATTTTTTTCTGGCTGGAAAAGTTAACTAGTGACCATGAAAGCAAGGTATATTTAGGAAAATGCCTTCTGTATAAATAGCATTCAAATATTGAGAACTATTAAATTAGGAATAATCATAAGCTTACCAGTGCTTTATCCTTTGCGATTCATTTAAAGTTGAACTGACATTTAAAAACAAAGCAAATAATGTAGGAAATCTTTTCTTTTAATTAGAATGCCTCCATATTGTAATTGTAAAAAAAATACGTTAATAGTTTTAGTCTTTAACTAAGGATATACGACAGATGATTAATTTAACAGAATCCAAAGCAAGCCTTGCTGCAATTCTGGAACATTCTCTGTTTTCTACGGAGCAGAAATTATTGGCAGAACTCGATGCTATTATGGGAAAGAAGGGGACAAGGATCATCATCTGGAATCTTAGAAGGTAATTAATTGTAAAACTCAGCTAGTTGTTGATAAGTCGTGTGTAAAGATGATTTTCTTGTGTTCATCCAGTGTTACATAGAGCTGAAATATTTTAAAGGTTATTCATTTTGTGGCCTAGTTAATGATTTGTTTTTCCCAGGTATTTATTATAGAGTCACTTTGCTAAAAGTAAATTTCCTGTCCTTGCCATACAATGGTCTTTGTCACTTTAGTCTCTCCTTGTTCTTTTTTTTTTTGTTAAAGGGCAGAAGATAAAAGCTAGGTAAAGCAATCTTTATCCATGACTGAAAGCTAAGCATGACGTAGAGCAACCCATGTGGCACATTGGTTAAGTGCGTGGCTGCTAACTGAAAGGTTGGTGCTTTGAACCCAACCCACCTCGTGACTGCAGGAGAAACACCTGGAAATTTGTTTCCTTAAAGATTACAGTCTAGAAAACGGAGCTCTACTCCGTTACATGGAGCTGCTGCTCTGAGTTGAAATCAACTGGGTGGCACCCAGCTAAAGGAAGCATGATTTAGCACCTGAAGACGACATTTTTGTGTTGCTGAAATTTGTAATCTTTTATCTTGTGAGGATAAATTTTGTTTATGAATATAAGTTTTTAAATTTAAGATTAAGGTTGACCTGTAATATGGTGAGATAAAAGACATGGAACCACAAGAATAAAGTACACATAGTGGTGAACCTGAAATTTTTGAGTGCATTGCTAACCTCTGGGATTCTTTTTTTTCCTTGCCCCTCCTCTTCCTCATGGTATGTTATATTGTTTTAATTAAGCTTTCCGAGATCATTGTAGATTCACACGTAATTAGATGAACTAATACAGAGATTTAGTAAGTAAGAAATAATACAGAGGGGAGTGGGAGGGAGGAAAAGAGGAGCTGATCCCAAGGGTTCAATAGAAAGTAAATGTCTAGAGTAGAACAATGGAATATATGTATGAATATGTCTGATACAGTTGATGTATGGATTGTAACAAGAGTTGTCAGAGTCTCCAATAAAAAGATATTTTAATGAAAAAAAAAAGATAATAGATTTTATTTTATTTATCTATTACCCAATTCATCCCAGTGGTAATGTTTTGCAAAACTATAGTATGATGTCTCAGCCAGGATACTGACATAGCTGTAGTCAAGCTCTAGAATATTTTCACCACTGCAAGATCCCTGCTTGCTTATTTCTATAACTTTGTTATAGACTTTGCTTAGATGTCATACAAATGGAACCATGTAGTATGAATAAAACCTTTTGGGATTTGCTTTTTTCCCTCAGCTTACAAGTCCCTGGAGGTTGTTGTAGGTTATCCATAGTTCTTTTTTGTTGCTGAGTGAGCATTGCATTGTATGATGTACCACAGTTTGGTCAACCTTCTGGTTGTTTCCAGTTTTTGCCTATTGCAAATGAAGCTATGTAGACATTCCTCTATCTAGGCTTTTGTAGGGTAATAGTTTTCAGTTGTGGTATGGAGATATATGCCCAGGAGTATAATGGTTAGCTGGTAGGGTATTTGGCAGTTTCATTTTTCAAGTACCTGTTTTCCAGAGTAGCTGTACCATTTCATATTCTTACTATCTTGTATGAGTGATCTGTTTTCTCCTTGCTTTTGAATCCTCCCTTTTTCTAGCTCCATTACATGGAGTGTTTTTTTTGTTTCTTTGGTTTTTGACTACTTACAGTATTTGCTTGTTTATCTTGGTCTGAGTTAAATTTTAACTCAAAAAATTATTTTACAGCTATAAAAATGGAGCAACAGAATTTGATTTTGATAAGGATAAATATGACATCAGAATTCCTGAGGATTTAGATGACACTTCAGGGAAGAAAGGGTATAAGAAGCAAGAAAGGATGGATCAAATTGCCCCGGAGAGTGACTACTCTCTCAGGGTATGTATTCAGGTTCCCTTTGCAAGTGTGAAAACCATCATCCGATGGAATTGCTAGTAGAATTTTTTTGTTATCTGCTTGGATTATAAATGCTGCTGGACTCTGTGAATCTCATAGGTGAACCAATTTACTAAGCTTTTTGTGAATGCACTGGTGGTTTTATTTGTTGAGAAACTCTTTTCTTGTAGTTTCAAGGTCATTGGGTCTAATAGTGCTTGTTCTTTTACTTGGTGGTTGAGTTGTTTGAATTGCAAGTACTGGAATCAGTATATAATTGTGTGATAAATATATTTGTGATACTGTTACCAGCTGTCAGGGGGTCTGGGAGAGCCTTTCACTGTTTTAGCCAGAGACAGACCAACTTGATTTTAAGTTTAGTCTGAGCACTGACCGAAGGAAACAGTTGGGTTTGTTGCCTCTGAACTACTTCAAACGTAAGTCAAAATCAAGCAAAGTATATACCTTAAACTATTTGACAAGGAACAAGCTTTGCAATACTTCCAGGAGGTATTTAACAGGTTTACATTGATAAGAGGATTTTAAAGTAATGCGACAAAAGGGAACAAGTTTTGCAGGAAAACTGTTTACATTTTCCCAAGAGATTATCAGACCATTATTGATACCTTTAGTGTAACCCCAAAGGTATCGAAATGGCCCTGCTTTGCCTTTCCTGAATTAGAGCATCCTTGAATGATTAACACGGTTTGCACAAGCCCAGGCCTTGAATAATTAACACCTTTAAAAGGAAATTTTTTTTTAATATAGGGGAGAGGGGTGTTACACTGTGGTCTCTTTTAACAAACTAAATCTCAACCCACCAAATCCCAGACTATGTTACATTTCCAGTGTTTGATTAATAGAAGTCTAACTCTTTCACCCCTCTATCAATATGACCTTAGAAATGATTTTATCTTTTAGACTAAAGGACTTGAGTTTCTTGGTCACTTAGTGAAAATGTGATACTAATATTTCACTTTATTTTATGTCCTAAAATTACTCTGTAATTAAAAGCTGAGGATATATTTGGCATTACAAGTTTGGCATATGCATTTTTCTGAGGTCCTGGCAATTACAGTGACAAGTATTTGCTGTTCTCAAACTACTCAGTGTGTTCTTCTTGCTTGATGCTTAGCTACTAAGAAAATCTCCCTCAAATATGAAACTGGTTCAAAGGGGGCCAGAGCAGATGACAGGTTTTTAGTCCACTGTGAAGTGTAGAAAAGGACTCCTGGTGGCGTAGTGGTTGGTTATGCATTGGGCTGTGATCTGAAAGGTCAGCATTTTGAAGCTACCGTGCTGCTCATCAGGCTAAAGATGAGGCTTTCTACTCCCATAAATAATTGTAGTTGCGGAAATTCACAGAGGAAGTTCTATCCTGTCCTATAGGCTTCTGTTGCACGGCAATGAGTTAGTTAAGGAAGCACAGAGTATTTTAAGATTAATGAATTTGAGAAATAACAAAGTACCCTTCTTTTGAAATCAGGAAAATAAGAAAAATGTTTAGATCTTAGTTTTGTGTTGAACCTTTCTCCTATTGTGTTAGTCCAGGTGGACTAGAGAAACAAATTCATAGACACTCATGTGTATAAGAGGGGCTTTGTATAAAAGTGTAATTGTATATTAAGAAAACGTCCCAACCCGGTCCAAATCAAGTCCGTAAGTCCTATATTAGCCCATGTGTCCATACCAGTCTGTAAATTCTTCTTCAGACTCATGCAATGATGCCAAGTGCAGGAAGATCACAGACCAGTGGGTGGAAAATATTGTGCATCCAGTGGCTGTGGAAGCATCTTAGTGCTGGTATGGATCTCCACGTGGCTCCTCCAGCTCCAAGGCTCTGGCTGCCATCACCATAGCTCATGTGGCTTGTCAACAGGAATGTCTTCCAGGGAGGCGGAGCATAGAAGAGTGTATCTGGCCTCCAGTGAGCTATTTATCTCCTAAGTGACTCCAAATGAGGTCATCAAGCTGGATAGGCTAAACTCCACCTCTTCACTTTTAATAGTCTCAAGTTGTAACTTGAGTGTAACTAATACACTTATTCTTTCTGAGTTGTTAAAATGTATTTCCTGCAGAATGCTCTGATAACATTGAGGCAGCGCCAGAAAAATAATAATTTAACAATTAAGATTGGTCAAACTATTAAGGTATCGCCTTTAGTAAGAGTTAAAAACATTCTAATGCCTATTGATTGTACCAACTATTTTTAAAAACATGCTCTTTACTCAGTATAAGACTTGGTGCATTATTTAAATCTTTTTCTTGAACAAGTGTGTATAATCTCTTCTGCTCATATTAGATAATTCTGATTATTTTTATATAATGAAATTCATGAAAAAATAGCGCTCTCCCCTGAAAAAAAAATAAATAAAGTTCATCATTTTTGCTTTGAGGTAGTTTATTGTGCCAACCTGGCTGTTGAACACATGTGGGGTTAATTGAAGGGTGGAGGGATAAATAGCTCAGTGAGCCTCGCCTTTCAAGTTCTCTGGTCTCTTGCTTTCTGATGGTTGGACCAGGGTACAGCCAGTTCCCTGCTTTAGCTGGCAAGGCGTACTTCCTGCAAGATGTGGACCTACCCTGATACAGCCCTGGGTGCTGGAGCAGCCGTGTGGAGACCCCTACCAGCGCTGAGATGCTTACACATTCACTGATTCAACTTTCCTGCAGTTGGCATCATTGCATTTGTTTTGTGAGATGGAGGAGGAATTTGGTGATTGGTGTTGGACATATGGGTTAATGGCTTAATGTTGGACTTGTGAGCTTGGGTAGCACTGGGTTGGGATGTTTTCATGATGTGCACTTAACCTTTATATAAAGCTCTCTCAAAAAACAAAAAACAGAAAAGCTCTCTCTTACACATGAGTTTCTGTGGATTTGTTTTTATAAATATCCAGACTAACATGGCTTTTTAAAGTAGAATAATATATGTGCTCAATAGAAAAGTCTAAAAACTGTAATGCTTTTGCATATACATTTTAAAAAATTGAGATTGTGATGTGCATACTGTTTTATAACCTTTTTCATTCAGTAATATATCAACAAATAGATTTGTTATCTGCGTCATGTTTATCGTATTGAATTTATCTTTAGGAGAAAATAATTAACTCAGAATACTGAATACAACTTCATAGTCTACTTTATTTTAAAAAAGAGATTGGGTTCTTTATGAAGCTGGGGTTATTTCTTTTTGTTGAAATTTCTGGCTAGTTTTGAACACATCTGTTGATATTTGGAAAGGACAAATATTGTTGTTTTGTCTTTGCAGGCCTACTGCAGTATATTATATCTAAAGCCAAGAATGCAGATTGTCTTACGTGGCCAGAAAGTGAAAACACAGCTAGTTTCGAAGAGTCTTGCTTACATTGAACGAGATGTTTATCGGCCCAAGTTCTTGGTATCCTTTGTTTGGTATTGCTTTAGTGGTGCACCAGTAGCTCAGGCTGACTCCCCTGGCCTCCCCTAACAATGGGTTCTTATTCCACAAGTCTGTCATTCTTTATGTACTTTGGACTTAGTCAATTTTGAAATAGAAAATATGTGTTGAAAGGGAAGTGGTATGTTCAGAATTTTCCTTAACATTTTAAGACTAGAACAGTGAGAATTACATTTGGATTCAACTGCAGAAATAAAGATCATTATGGGATTATGATGTATCACAGGAATAGACTTATCAAAGCTTATGAAAAAGTTGGATGCCAGCTAAGGGTAAGCCTTTTATTTGAAAAGATGTGTATATTTTACAAAAGATGTATATAATGAGGTCAAATGTAGAATCATTGTACTTTTTGCCTATATAAATAGCAACGTTTACCTTGTAAATTTAGGAAATACAATGTATCAGATCCTTTACTGGACACCATGGATGTTAAGATGGATTCATTGTGGTTTTTATCCTCTAAGAAATTACATCTTAGTATATGTAGTCTCTTTTCCCTTTTTTAAAGTTGGAGTGATAATAGTTGCTTAAATGGATATTTGTTAATCGGGAATGTTTTTTGAGGGAGATCTTAGTATATTTTGGTGTTAACTCCCATAAGAGATTCTTTCTAGACTTTCTAAATTTCAGGAGATACTTAATCATTTGAAATAAAATAGAATAAAATATCTTATAGGAATTATACATTTTTATGTGTTATTTTGTGCATCATATCTTGTGCTTAAAATGCATCTTTTTACTGTGTTTGGTTTTCAGGCAAATAACATGGGTGTTGGAGTAGTTGGAATTATAGAGTGTAATTTCCTAAAGCCAACTCATAATAAACAAGATTTTGACTATACTAATGAATATAGGTATGTTCTTATATGCCCTGTTGACTTAATTTTAAAATTACTTTGGAAATACTTTCATAAGTTTTCTAAGTTTAGTTTTTTGCTGTCTTGTGGATATTTTTATGTTTTTTGTCTTTGTTTTAAATAATCAATTTATTAGGGGCTCATACAACTCATCACAATCCGTACATACATCATTTGTGTCCAGCACATTAGTACATATGTTGACTTCATCATTCTCACAACACCCGCTTTCCACTTGAGCCCTTGGTGTCAGCTCCTCATTTTTCCCCCTCCCTGCTCCCTATCTTTATTTTTTAATTATGAAAACAGTACACCTATTCTTCACTTACTGACATGGTTAAATTCCAAAGACCAGATTAGGTGAAAACTGGCATTATGTGGTAATAGAGGATGAACACATCATCTGACTGCCAAATTGCATCTCTCGTTATGTAACTGCAAACCACCAAGCTTCATGGCCCAGCGAAGTTGACCCATGCCTTCTCTGTCACAGCCAGCATCACTCTCAGCTTGCACTAGGGTTTCTTACTGCTGTTTTTGACCCTTGTTTGTTGTCGTGGTGGTGAGGAAATAGTAAGGTTTCTATTGCAGTAAAAATAAAATGTCAGATGAGGTAGAGATGTGAGGAGTGCTATATAATAGAACTGTCAGAAATGGGTGAGTAATGAGCTTGCATAGAAACCACATTTAACCCTTTACCTCCTTCCATCCTAAGGTATTGCTTCTACTCCATCACAAATTTTGTTTTCCACACTGTCTTTAGTAAGGATTTATTGGGATGCATGTAATGTAGAATAAGTTCCTGATTTCTTGATGTATAAGCATTTTTTGGTATAAACAAACTTTGTTCTAGGTTAGGAACTTAAGATAGTTTATAGTTGTATTAGTCTAGGTACTTTGGAGAAACAAATCCATAGCAACTCACGTATAAGAGAGAGTTTTATGCAGAGAAAATGTGCATCACGAAAACATCCCAACCCAATGCTGCCCAAGCCCACAAGTCCAACATTAACCCATACCCAACACGTCCACAAAGTCCTTCACCTCACAAAACAGAGGCAATAATACCGACTACAGGAGGAAAGCTGAGTCAGTGAACGTGTAAGCATCTCAGCACTGGCAGGGGTCTCCACATGGCTGCTCCAGCACCCAGGGCTGCATCGGGATAGATCCATGCGGCTTCTCCTTGGGGATGTCTTGTAGGAAATCCATCTTGCAAGCTGAAGCAAGGAACTGCTAAGGCAGCTGCACCCGATGCAACCATCACAAAACAAGAGACCCGAGCACTAGAAAGGCGAAGCTTCACCACCCATTTATCCCTCCACCTTTCAACCAGCACCACATGTGATTATCGGCCAGGCTGGCACAATTAACTAACTCAGTAGTCCTCCAGAAACAATACTGCTTTGAAAACTTGTGGGGCAGTTTTACTCTATCCTATAGGGTTTCTGTGAGTTGGAATAAATTAGAGGGCAACAGGTTTTTTATGTGTGTGTGCTCCGGGGGTGGGGGGTGGGAGTGGGTGGGGAGGGCTTGTAGGTGTAAAGAGCAAAAGTAAGTATGAGTTGAGGGGGAGTTTGGCTGTAGACTCATTAAAGCTGATAGTTACTGTAAGTAATAGTGTCTACCAGAGAGTAAAATTAATCCTGCATTTTATTTTAAACTTTATTTTAACTAGAAGGTTATATTGAGTCTGTGCTTATGAGAGGGTACCCCCTAAAAACTGGACTTTCTTTCAAAGCTATGTATTTACATTTTTTTATAAAGCAACCATATCACCTTCAAAGTATTCTCCATTACACTTAATATATTTGTCAAATCTGTGATTCCGTTCTGGGAAACATTTGTCACACTCATCTGTTTGGATGGCTAACAGCACCTCCCTCGTTTTTTTCCCTCCACCTCTCTACGTAGTCATATTGCTGCCCTTTCATGCCTTTCTTCATTCACAGAAGTCAGGTGCTTGGGGCAAGAGAGGCATGCTGTTTTTGCCAAAAAACTGGTGCACTGAGATGGTTGCATGAGCCAGCTGCATTGTCTTAGTGGCAAAACCCAGTCACCCATCTACCACAAATCAGGCCTTTTTTGTTGCACACTTAGGCAATTCTTTCAGAACCTCTAATAGAAAGCTTGATTAATAGTCTGACCTGGTGGAACAAATGCCAAATGCACTGTAAGTTGACATTTTCTTCCGCTCGGGAAGTCATCAGTTGACATTTCACCTTTTTTGAAATGAGAAAATCACTCATACACTCGAGCTTTTCCCATAGCTCTGCCCATGTAAGTTGTGTTCAACATCACAACAGTTTCCGCGGCATTTTTTTCAAGCAGGAACAAAATTTCATAGCTGCATGCTATTCTCTTTAATTCTTCCATCACAAAAAAAGAGGCTTGAGCAAAACTGCTTTTACGAAAAAAATTCACTGTGACCAGAGAGAATCTTCCCTGATGACGCCATGGGGTGCACTAACTCAGGTGGAGTTGTTGGATGCTTGCCTAGAGGGAAAAATGTGTACTACAAAAGCTCTACTTTGTGTAGCACAATTCCAGTTTTTTTTGAGTACTCCCACATATTTAGTTCATTAACAAATGACTAATAAGTTAATTGTGATTTTAGTTGTATTTATTTTAACAAGTCCCATTAAATTTAATTTTTATTAATATTCCATTTTGGGCAAAATCTAATTGTGGGCAGAGTTACTTTAAATTATATGAGACCATTTGCTTTGGAACCGTCTCTCATTGTGATCTCATGTGCCATAGTGTAACTCCATAGGATTTTCAGTGGCTGATGTTTTTAGGAGTAGATTGCCACGCCTTTCTTCCAAGTTACCTCAGGGTCACAACAAACTTCCAACATTTTGATTAACAACTGAGTGTGTTAACCATTTTCACCAATTTCTGGTAATTATTGTTTGAGTTTTATTATGAGTTGAAATGGGAAAGTTCCTTAGGTGGGGTTAAATGTAGACTGATTTTTGCCAATTATTGGTCTATACTAGTCTTTCCCAACCAAGAACCCAAAGATGTACTATTTTGTATCCTATTTTCTAGATGATCTTGGCCCTGCTTCAGGAACTTATAAAAATTAGTATTAATTTTGAGTGTTCTTTATTAACTACATTGATCCGCCCTCCCTCGGTGCATCTTATGACCATTATTACGTTATTTTTGCTTTCTCTTGTATTCTGCAAAGATTTAATCCTTACCTTTTTCTTTTCTTGAATTTTTCTAATTTACCTTTTTAAGGCTTACAATAACAGCACTAGGAGATAAGCTTAATGATTATTGGAATGAAATGAAAGTCAAGAAAAATTCAGAATACCATCTAAATTTGCCAGTTGAAGATATACAGTAAGTATATAAAAAAGGCTCACTATGCTATCACGATACAGTGATTTCACATTGTTTCACTTATCTTAAACCTAAACCATAGTAAGGAGTAATAAATTTCACAGCTGAAACCACTGTATCCCCAAAATAAATAAGTATGAACATATGTATACACATAAGGGGTTCTTAAAACAGCATTTACTGATATATGTAATGCATGCTGAGATAATATTCTTTTTAAGAAAATGCTAGGTTCGAATCACTAAATTGACTTCACAGTCCACTAATGAATGGCATCCCATAATTTGAGGAACATTGGTTTAGTATAATGGTTGGAATAATATTTCTGAAGCCAGAGTTCAGAATCTAGTTCTGCTTTAGTAGCTGTGTGAAATTGAGCTACTTGGCCTCTCTAAGTTTCCATTTCCTCATGTGTAAAATGGAACATTAGTGGCTCTTATTACATTCCAAAGTTGTGAGAATTAAAATGATGTGATGCCTATCAAGCACTTTAGTAGTACATTGTAACAATCCTATGGGTGGTTGGATATGTAGATATATAATGCAAGTGTGAAAAAAAAATACACGTGTGTACTGATAGACAAAGATTGTCCAAGATATGTTAATTGGAAAAAATAAGCTGCAGTTCAATATAATCATCCCATTGCATTTTAAACAAGTATCCATGTACATACACATAGTGTTAGCCGCTAGGAACAAGCAGTTAATTTTTACTTTATAACCATTTTGGCTTGTTTGAATTTTTATATAAATTATGGATGTTTTTCCTTTTTGCATGTTTTATTGGTACTTCATTCACGTCATACAATTCAATAATTCAGTTATATCAAGAAGAGTTGTACGTTTATCACCACAATCAATTTTAGAACATTTTCTTATTCTGTGTACTTATTGTTATATGTAAACTTTTTAATTGTGCCAAAAGTATGCACACACAAAATTCTCCAATTCAACAACTTCTACATGTATAATTTAGTGCCATTAATTATACTCTTTGTGTTGTACAACCATTACTGAGATCCTTTTCCATATTTTTTCCACTATCATTAACATAAATTCTGTGCTCCCTAAGCAAAAACTCCTCATTCCACCTCTCGTAACCGTTGCTCAAGTTTGGTTTACTTTTTAAGTAATTTTCTTGGTATAATATTCACATATCATACACTTTCATATAAAATTGGTTTTTAAAATTTTATTTTGTAAAATCGCTTTTAAAAAGTTGTATATACATCATCACAGTCAGTTGTAGTGCTCCCTCCCCACTCTTGTATTTATTGTTTGCTCCCCAAATCTCCCCTCACCCTCCCAATCCCTGAATGGATTTTTAAAAACAAGGTTTAAAAGTTAACTGGCATTAAGGAGATGCCTTCAGATGTCAAATGAATCAACATGAATTCTTTATAGGATTATTTTTATTTTTTTGTAGGACTGATATATGCAAATGTAGTTGTTGAGGAATATACTGAAATAGAGGATTATGAAGTTGAGTTTTCATTATCATAGAACAAATTTAATTGTATGCATGTATGTAATCACAATTAAATTGCTTTGTTAAGATTATCCTGTGGCCTTTAACCTTTCATAGGAACTAAAATTGTTTTAAAATTTTTAAATTGCTCTGCAACAGAAATAATGATCTACAAATTTTCAGGGGAAAATGTACTTATAGGGATATTCTGTGGTGAAAAATTCATAGAAAACATAATAAACTACTTGCAATCCATATTTCCGTGTTCTTGTTTGTTCCAGGAAGCGCCCTGATCAGACTTGGGTTCAATGTGATTCCTGTCTCAAATGGCGGAAGTTACCAGATGGGATAGATCAACTTCCTGAAAAATGGTATTGCTCCAATAACCCTGACCCACAGTTCAGGTACCAGATAGTTGGTTAGTACCCTTTTTGGAAAGGTGGACAGTCCTTGTACAAGAACAGGCGCTAGTGACGTTATACCTATGTGATTTTTCTGACTAGAAATTGTGATGTTCCAGAAGAGCCGGAAGATGAGGATTTGGTACATCCCACTTATGAAAAAACCTACAAAAAGAAGTAAGTGTTGGATTAATGTAGGATGGGAAAATAGCAAGTGCAACTAGAAAGATGATATGGGTTTTTTGTTTTTTTTTCGTTTATGCTGTGGGCACATTAAAAATTTTCCTGATGTTTATTTCTATCTAATCTCTAAGATACATTGACCACAGAGCAGTTCATTTCTTTAGGCTGCATACAGATGGCTAAGTGCTAAGTGTTTCACTACAAACTGAAAGGAAGGTTGGTTGAAACTCACCCAGTGGCCCTGTGGAGGAACAACTTTGCAATCTATTCCTGTAAAGATTGTAGCCTAGAAACTCCTCTGTGGCAGTTCTACTCTGTCCATGAGTTGAAATCAACTTGATGATGCCCACTAACAGCTTAAGAGGGAAGGTGATAAGTTCTTTATAAAAGGTGTATTATAGCTCCTCTGCTGAAAAAGATGAGGCTTTCTACTCCTGTAAAGAGTTACTGTCTTGGAGACCCAAAAGGGCAGTGCTACCCTGTCCTGTAAGGTCACTGTGAGTGGGTATCAACTTGATGGTAGTGAGTTTGGGGCTTTTTTTGGGGGTGGGGCGTGTAGGTTGTAGTACCATGTGGAAACTTATGAAGAAAGATGGCTTCTGACTGAGGCAGGGTTCATGATGGTCATCTTTGCACCATCCCATGAATGATATTTAGGATGAGTATCTGTTCATGGTGACTAGAATGAATATGTGAATGGCAGAAATCCAGTATGGGATAGGTAAGTTGGGTAGGCATAGTCCGCCATGGTGAATTTTAGTGAGGCCGATGCACTAGTCATAGACGACTGAGCTCATTACGTTGTACAAAAGGCTGCTGTGAGTTGGCGTTGACTCCATGGCAACTGACAGCAGCAATGAATTCCTGGTGATAAATCTAGCATCAAGACTAAAAGTAAACCTACAAGAGATCAGTTAGAAGCCTGTTGTGGCATATCAATACAAAGACTGAGAATAACCTATCTGGGGAGGGAAAGCTTCCGGCAGACGTTAGAAAGTTGCTGAGATAAAAGGTGATTGTTCCTCTGCTTAAAGGCTTACTGATGAGTATAATGAAATTTAAGAAAAGTTCAAGGTACATATCTGAATAGCAGGGTAGTAAATAGACAAGGGTCTCATTGAAAAGTAATAGTGAAATAAATTTAAATATGCACACTTTCCTTTTTTTATTTTCTCTAAAGAGACAAGGAAAAATTCAGGATCAGACAACCGGAAATCATTCCTCGGGTAATTAAACTTTCCATTGTATAATTGTGCTTTATAATAAATAGCAAATAGTTTAGTAAATACGGGATATTAAATATTGAGACTTGGCGTAACAAATGGAAAGGCCCTTGTGCATTCAGTTCACTCATGTCAGTAGATAGGCTGCTAAGGACACGCTCACAGAACCTCCCAGCAGCAGTGTTCCTGCCCGCCGTGGTTGAACCCTGTGCTCACTGGCTTTTCCCTTTCGATAGAAAGGCATTTTGGTATTACGAGATTGTGCTGAGTTCATGAGCATGCCATTTGTTCTGCTGTGGATAATGTCTGCTTGTAATTACATTGAATTGTTTTCTACTATACTGTGGTTTCATCTTTTTCCTTCAGAAAACAAATTTATATTCTACCTTATAGGTGGTAGCACACCTGTGTTCAAGACCAGGCACTAAATATTTCAGGCTTAATGGGCCATATACAGTTGTTGTGGGATGTGCTTGGTTTATTTTTGTTTGTTTTTTTCACAACTGTTTAAAAATGTAAAACCATTGGGACTGCACAAGGAATTGTTAAAGATGGTTCTTAATGTCTTCTGGGAAAAGGAGAAAAGAGAAGAGTATACTCTGGGTTTTGGCATAATTCCTTTAAGATCAATTTTTTGCCCCAGCAGATTAATGCTGAATTGTTGTTTCGGACAACCCCCGTTTCGAGTCCAAGCTTTTCTTCTATGAAGGAAAGTGTTTCAAGAGGACATCTCTCAGAAGTGGCAAATACTTACACAGCAAGACTTGTAAATAACAACCGTGTTTCACCCCAGTCTGAACCTGAGAGCAATAGGTCAGTGGCTAAGATGTGGTCTTCCATTTTGGGGAATAAAAAGAGCCTTTACTTGAGACTACGAAGGCAGTAATGCAGTTGCTGGAATATGTAATTTATATGAATGCAAAAAGTATTATGAACAAAGTTACATGACTGCATTTATTAGTGAAACTTGAACTTGCCCTACATTTGTCATGTAGGCCCCCAGGCCTAAGTCAGTTTAAAAACAATATACTTTGTGGAGTTTGATCAAATCAAATATGTGGGGCTTTTAAAAGTTCATAGAAAAATTCCATTGTCTTCTAATTTCACTATTTCACAAACTTTCTGAAGCCTCCTCATTGTATGTAAACTTCTGTTTTTAAGACAATAACTCTAGAAGAAAAACAAGAAGCAGGTAAGAGCACAGCATACAGTGTCAAATATGACCTGAAAGCTCTTGGCGTCACCCAGCGCCATAGCACATTTCAGATGCTACCTGTATTTTAGATAGTAGATAGAGAAGGAAGGGAGAAAGGTAAGAGTGATACATGAATGGATTATTTATCCTTACCTGGAATGGTCAGAGAAGGCGTGGTGATAGGATGGTAATTAAATTTGTTCCTCAAGTTCTTAAGCCAGATCTCTGCTTAAATGATCTGTTTAAAGGTAATAAAATAAGCAAAAGTGAAGAATAACAACAATTCCGTAGTCCGTCTTTGTTTTCAGCCTTGTGGAAGCCTGAGGGAACACGGGCAACGAGTGTCTTCTCTAGAGGAAGGACATTCACAGTGGGGTAGAATCGTCAGACTTGATAGCGTAAGTGCGGGTAATTTGTGATGAAGATGGTCTCTGATTCTTGGAAGTAGCTATGAATGTTCAATTAGCCATCTTCATCATCTTATGGGCCAGATTTCCCAGTTGTTAGACTTTCAGCTTTAAGTTTTTCTCGACTATTGTATAGGCAAATGTTTGAATCACCCCCTCCCCACACACACACACACCTCCCAATAGACTAATCTTTTGACTAAGATTCCAAGGCTAAGTCACGTTAGTGAATAGGTTGTTCATTTTTTCAAGGATATGTGTGCATAATTAAGAAAAAGCCTTTAGAAGTTCTATAATGGTGATACTAAGAAAATGCAGTATTAACATTAAACTTGAAGGTCGATTTTCTAATGTAGTGACTTTTCAATTATCTTTGATCATACAGTGAGAAACATATTTATTCCTGTATGACCCAGTGCCTATGTAGTGGCCACAATAAATTGAAACAAATGTTTATAAAACTGTAACCCCATATATCTGACATAGTTTCTCACTATATGTTAACATTTTCACTTTACATTCCAAATACTCCTGTGGCCCAATAGATTAATTCATAAATCACTACCTAGATTATACATGTAAGTTGAAAAACCCTGCTGTAGACTTAAACTGTTAGATATGGTAGTTAATGACCATATGTGTAGTTATTTAAATTAATTAAAATTCCATTAAAAAGTCAGCTGTTCAGTTAAATTGTACATATTTCAAAAGAACCCTCATGGATTACTTAATGGGATTTTCATTGCATCTGAAAGAAAGGGAGACAGTGCATAAAAGATCAACGTAGAATTGATGCCTTTGAATTATGGTGTTAGTGAGGAATATAAAATGTGCTGTGAGCTTCCAGGAGAATGAACAAGTCTTACAAGAAGTATGGCCAGAATGCTCCTTACACGAATGGCAAGATTTTTCTTTTACATACTTTGGGGATGTTATCAGAGGGATTGGTCCCTGGGAAAGGACATCATGTTTGGTAGAGGATCAATGAACAAGAGGAAGGACCTTCTTCCCGCGCCCCAGTGAATTAGATAAAGTGGCTGCGATACGGGCTCAAATATGGGAATGATTGTAGGATGGTGCAGGACCCGGCACCCTTGTGTCCTGTTGCACATGGAGTCACGGAGTCAGAGTAGACAGACGGCTACTTGACAACAAAGGATAGACATGGAGTGCTCTTTGAAAGGTTAGAAAATAATTTCCACTTGTAGTTCTATAAGCCAGCAATAAACTTGGCAATGGAATGAAGATAGTTTCAAATGCAAAGATTTACCTTTTTATGCCCCAGATGATTTTTGCTCAAGATGGTATTGGAGAGTGTATTTGAGGAAAAATAGTTTGAAGTGTAGGAAAATGACCAACAGAGTAAATTCAGTATAAATTTCCCCTCCACGTGAGGAAGAAAACAATCATAGAAAACCAAGCACATGAACAAAATGAGGCCACGTTTAATTTTGAGAAATTTCTTTTTTAATCGAAAGGTAGGAAATGCTGGTGTTTTATGGCTCACCTTTGATCATTGAATGCTGATACCAGTGATGGTGGGCTATGTAGTGCCAGCCAATAAGCCTGGGGGCCAGCATGTCAGATCCTACTTTGGATAGGAACACATTGAAATGTCTGGAAGGCATCAAATGAAGAGACAGTCAGCAGTTTATAGATCCAGCCTTTCACAGAAATCTTGTTAGTTGTGTCCTCTTCTGTCAAATGTGAAAATGATCTCTCCATTAAAGTGTTGGCTAGTACTGTATACTTTGTAACTGCCCCTCCCCCAAGCAAAAATACAGACTATTGCAGGAGTATCTTACAGTTTCAAAATAGTTTAGTGATAAGAATATTGCAATAGTGTATTTTTTTAGAGTTATTACCAGATGGTGTATTCTGTCTGTATTTTACCATATTTTCTCTCCCCCTCCCCCCCAGCTTGAAACGGAGACTTTCTGTTCGTTCCTCAATTTTGAATGTAAAGAATCGGAGATTGAGTAGTCAAACATTTGAAAATTCCACTTACAGAGATGATGATGAAGATGTCATCATCTTGGAAGAAAACAGCACTCCAAAGCCTGCTGTCGAACATGATAATGAAATGAAATCAGAACAAATTCACGTAGAACAAAGTAGTGCTGAGGTACAGATTGTGAACAATAATGAACTGTGTCGCCAGACTAGTTCAACTAGCACCGTATCTTCCAGGTGTGATCAAGGAACCACTACAGCCACTCAGACTGAAGTGCCAAAATTGGTTGTTAAAAAGGAAGAAACAATTGAAGATGAGATAGATGCACGGAATGATCCAGCTGTGCTGGCACCCTGTAGGGAAACTGAAGCCAAGATACGGGAACCTATTGATAAGTCTGCCGGCGATCCTGGTTGCCAGCTAAATGAAGTGAGAAACGAGCTACTTCTAGTCACCCAAGAAAAGGAGAATTATAAAAGACAGTGCCGTACACTTACTGACCAGATGAAAGTATTAGAACAGAGGATACTAGAAATGAATGACAAATATGTGAAGAAGGAGACATGCCATCAATCTACTGAAACTGATGCTGTGTTTTTACTTCAAAGTATTAATGGTAAATCTGAAAGTCCAGACTACATGGCATCTCAGTATCAGCAAGCTTTAGAAGAAATAGAAAGGCTGAAAACACAGTGTAATGCGTTGCAACATGTGAAGGCGGAATGCAACCAGTGTTTGAATAGTGAGACTAAAAGTGAAATGGATGACATGGCTGTGCAGCTTGATGATGTATTTAGACAGCTGGACAAATGCAGTATTGAGAGGGACCAGTATAAAAGTGAGGTGAGTTACTTCATTTAGCAAAATGGGAACAGTGGAAATCTGGGTGCATGTGGACTTCAAAGACCTCCCAACTCTTCATTGTTTCCTTACGCTAGCTGGTGGTAGCATGGAGCTACTCTCTACATTTGTTTGTTTGGCATATTCCATAAAAGTGGACTCCTGTAAGATTTATTTTTGTGTGTCTGACTTAGTAACTATATGGCGAATAGACACAGGGTTATCTACACCCTTTGCCTATTATGGATAATGCGGCAATGAGCATTGGTGTAAAAGTATCTGAGCCTCTTAGGGTTTTGAGTTTTGCTTTTTTTTTAATATTTAGATAAGGCGTCCTCAAACTAAGGCCCGTGGGCCACATGCCTGCTGTTTTGCCCCGTTTTTGTTTTTTTTTTCAAAATAAGCTATGTGCAGTGTGCATAGGAATTTGTTCATAGTTTTTTTTTAAACTACGGCCCTCCAACAGATCTGAGGGACAGTGAACTGGCCCCCTGTTTAAAAAGTTTTGAGGACCCATGATTTAGATAGTAGAATTACAGGGTCCTGTGGCGATTTTCTTATTGCTAACGAGTTGATTTCAACTCAAAGTGATCCTATAGGACAGGGTAGAACTGCTGGGTTTCCGAGGCTATAAATCTATAAAGCCTCATCTTTCTCCTTCAGGGTAGCTGGTGGATTTGGGCTGTTGACCTCATGCTTAGGAGCCCACTGTGTAACACGCTGCCACCCAGGAGTCCCTTTACTTTGGGCATGTTAGTCAGGAGGGTGCAGTCCCTGGGAAAGAACATCATGCTTGGTAAAGTGGAGGGGCCGGGAAAGAGAGGAAGACTCTCAGGAAGGTCTGATGGTGCGACATTGGGCGCCAACCTAATAATTGTGAGGATGGCGCAGCACTGGGCAGTATTTCATTCTGTTATACGTAGAGTTACTGTGAGTCTGATCCAACGCTGAGACAGCTAACATAAACCCACTAACAATACAAATAATAGTTTTAATAGCAGATCAACAAAAAGGAGACATCGAGGAGATAGGTTTGACATAGTGACTGTGATCATGGACTCACACATAGCATTGATTGTGAGGTTGGCTCAGGACTGAACAAAGTTCTATTGAACATCACGCCACTGAGTTGGAACTGACTTGATGGCACCTAACAACAGCATGGTAATTTGGTGTTTCTGGTTTTGGGGAACCACCAAACTCTTTCACAACTGCTGTCCCATTCCCCACAGTAATAAATGAGGAATCCAATATTCCCATCTCCATTCATGCTTGTTTCCTTTTCTCAATAGTAATCTTTTATGTGGAGTGATATTTCATTGTATAGTTTTAACAAATTATTTTTTCCCTTTGATTTTCATGCAAAGAAAAACATACAGTTGCCATGCTCAGAACAATGACATTACACTAGTAACCCCCTGTGTCTGTGGCTCAACTATTTTGTGCTTTAAAAAAAAAAAGATTGATCTTGTATTTTGGTTTTGAGAACTTTGTCTTTGGGATGGCTGATTATTTCAGTTCTTCTGTTTTGCTCTTTCAAACTGTTAGCCAATTTTAATATTCTTGTGTTTGCCTGTTTAGTTTTTATTTGAGTTGAATTGTTGGATTACTCCTATGGTTTTTTTTATCACATTTTAGGTAGTGTTTCCTGAGTTTTATCTTTCATTTTCCCCATCTTTCTGTCTTTCATTAGAAGCAGTTGAAGATCCTTCTCTTATATTCACTCATAGGAAGATTTAAAACTTTTTCTTCATCCAAGATCTCAACTGAATCTACGTTTTGCAAGTTTCCCACTCAGTTGTGCCATATTTTCCTTGTGTTTTTTTTTCATATGAACAAGATTGGCCTTTGCTTCCTTAACATAATGTATTATATCTGTCTCTGGGATGAACAATGCTCCATTCGTACCTGTTGTAGTTCCTGAAGAATCATGGGAGGCCAGGTTGTGTGACACTCATTAGCTTATCCTGAGGAGGGTTGATGGCAGGAAACAGTTAAATACTGCCCCTGTCAAGGTCTCAATCTCTGTCAACTCCTATGCTTTTTCAGGAAGTTCAGACCAGTGACAAATAAGTCTATCATGAAGGGGAAGAGAAGACTATGCAAGGCACTTTGTATTCTGCCCAAACTGTATTCTCTGTCTCAGAGCAAGGTCCAGGGTCTCTTTAAATTAATTCCCTGTAAGTGTGAGCTGACAGGCACACTTATATTCTCAGTCCTTAGACAGGCCAGGAACAAATTCTATGCAAGCTTTTTCTCCTGTGCAGGTTCACCTAATCTTGCCCTCACCTGGACTGGCAGTTTTCCTTTGTTTGCTGGGCAAGAGTTGCCACTGTCCTTTGTGAGACCAGATCCAGCCCTGAGAGATCTAGAAGGCATTGCCAGTGAGCCTATAGCTTAGCGGTTCTTAACCTATGGGTTGCAACTCCTTTCGGGGTCGAATGACCCTTTCACAGGGGTCGCCCGATTCATAGCAGTAGCAAAATGACATTTATGAAGTAGCAACAAAAATAATTTTATGATTGAGGGGTCACCATAACATGAAGAACTGTATTAAAGGGTCGTGGCATTAGGAAGGTTGAGAACCACTGCTTGCTGATTTAAATCACTCCTATTTGGTATTAGTGCTGTATGTGGGCTGGGTCCCTCCCAATCCTGTGTGTGTGTAGAGGGTGTGGGTCCCTCCCAATCCTGTGTGTGTATAGAGGGTGGGAGGGTCAACCACTGGATTTTCCTACCCCATTTAAATCATGTTTACCCCCTCTCAACCCCTGAGTACACTGGAGGAAAGTGCTACTGTCATATGTGTATTGGTGCCAGCTTAGGTGTGGTGAGAATGTGTCAGCTCACCTTTTCCCCCTCCCCCCACTGAAGCGAGGAGTGCTGCAGACAGCTGCCTCAGGAACCCTATCAGGGCATCAGAGAATTCATGACTCTTGGGGGTTCCTTGCACTGGCTTCCTCCCTCTGAATTACCAGATTTTACCTGGTACAGGTGTCTGGTCTTCCAGGGGAGATTTACAACTCAAGTTTTTAAAGGATTTTTTGCAGCTATTAGATTGTGTTAGGTGTACTGTTTACTGTTGTCATTTAGTCTCACATACTTCCCAATGTCTTTCCTTGCCTTGATCATGTTATGTCAGCCTCCCCTTCCTGGTTAATACACATCTTCCTGGTTAATACACGTCTTCCTGGTTAATACATGTCTTCCCGGTTAATACACGTCTTCCTGGTTAATACACGTCTTCCTGGTTAATACACGTCTTCCCGGTTAATACACGTCTTCCTAGTTAATACACGTCTTCCCGGTTAATACACGTCTTCCCGGTTAATACACGTCTTCCTGAAGGTTAATACACGTCTTCTCGGTTAATACACGTCTTCCTGGTTAATACCCGTCTTCCCGGTTAATACACGTCTTCCTGAAGGTGAATACACGTCTTCCTGAAGGTGAATACACGTCTTCCTGAAGGTGAATACTCATCTTCCTGAAGGTTAATACACGTCTTCCTAGTTAATGGTTTTCCTTCACCCTTTCCTCTCTGGAAAGTTTCAAAGAATTAAAAGAATTTTATTATTATTTTTAGAATTTTTCCTTCTGTGTAAACCAAATAGTGATCTCTGTAATATTTGTCCTTTTGTAATAGACTAATTTCATTCAGTAATGTCCACTAGGTTCTTCCATGAGTTGTGAGATGTTTCATGGGTTCATCCTTATGCTTTGAAGTTGTGAAGTATCCCATTGTGTGTATTTACCACCATTTGTCCATTTCATCTGTTGCTGGGCATCTAGGTTGTTTCCATGTTTTTCTCTTGGAATAATATTTTGATCAACCTGAGTGTTCATATGCATATTGGTGTCAGGACTCTTTCTTTAGGTAAATGTCTAGAAATCACAGAGTCGCCGTGACTCGAATTAACTCCGTGGCAGTGAATGTTTTGGTTTGAATAGTATTACTGGATCGCATGACATCACTGTTGATAATTTTCTAAGAACATGCTGTTATATTTTCCACAATGGTTGTTCCATTTTACAAATCCATTCAGCCGTGTATGAAAATTCCAATCTTTCACACACTTGCTAGTATTAATTGTTTGATTTAATTACTATTATTCCTGGGGTGAGATGCTATCTCGTTGTTTTGGTTTGCATTTCTAATGGCTAATGATGATAAATATCTCTTTATGCATTTGTTGGCTCCCTGAATGTCTTCTTTTTAAGTTATTTACTCACTATATAATTGGATTGTATTTTTGGTCTTGAGGTTTCAGTGTTTTCTGTAAAATTGAAGACAGTAGTTCAATCATTCAGTCATATCAAGGAGAATTGTACAATCATTACCACATCAATTTTAGAGCAATACACCCCTACCACTCCCATGGTTAAATCACTTTTAAGATGAATTATGTAACCACAATCCGCTTTGATGCTCCTTTCCCCTTCCCGCCTTCATTATGTACTCCTGAAACCCCCTTTCCCTCCTATATTGAATTAGTTTTCTTAATATTGTATGATTGCTTTATATGGTGGATTGTTTCATTTTTCGATAAATGGATATCGTTTTACCAACACCATTTGTTAAAGGCACTATCCCTCCCTCATTAATGGATTAAACCTTTGTTGGAAATTTTTGGCCATAGGTTGATAGACTTCTGGGTTTTCAGTTCTTTTCCACTGGTTAAATGTCTGTTTCTGTACTTGTACCAGACTATTTGGACTACTGTGAATTTACAGCCATTTCTGAGGTCAGGAAGTTGAGACTCTTAATTTGTTCTGTTCTTCACTAAGGGTTTGCATATGCACGGTGTCTTTTTTCCATATGGAATTGATGGTGAGTTTTTCCATGATGGATTCTGTATCAGGATTGCATTATATATATTTGTCAGTTGGGATAGTATTGACATTGTTATAATATGTTAAGCCTTTTCAATGAATAAGCATAACATTTGTGCCCATTTATGTAGGTCTCTTGGTTTCTTGCCAGAACTATTGTGTTGTTTTCTTCATACCAGTCTTTGATATCTATGATTAGTTATAATCTTAAATAGTTCATCTTTTTTGTTGGGTATTGTAAATGGTATTACGTATTTTCCAGGTTTTTCTTTTCAGAGTTCTCTTTATTAGTATAGGGCAAAGGTTCCCAAACTTATTTGACCAACTGCAACTTTTCAAAAAAGAAAATTACTCTGTACCACCCTGGCCCTTAAGTACTTTTGGTATTATGCTCCATAATCCAGTATAATGTTTTTGGAACCCCTCTGGAATATTCCAGTGTGTCCCCCAAGGGGGTGGTATAACCTACTTAGGGAAATAGTGCTGTAGAGGAATCCATTTTCTAAAAAAATTTTAGTGTTGACCTCGTACCCTACTGCTTTATTTTATTCTGTTATAGTAGCTGTCATGTAGATTCAGAAGTTTTTAAAAAACGTATGCAACAAGGGATATTATTATCTACCATGTTGGATGCCTTTGTTTCATTTTCTTGCCATTGTGCTCTGCCCACATCTTCCAGTCCCGTGATGGGATTGATGAGAAATGCATCGCTACATGCCACCAAGGGGAAGGCTTTCAATTCTCTCCATTGAAAAGATATGGGTTGTTGGTTTTTGAAGGAGTTTTGGTGGCATTGTTGAGTAGGTGTTGGTCTGCTAACCACAAAGGTGGCAGTTTAAACCCACTGTTCACGCCCCAAGAAAGATGAGGCTAACTGCTCTTGTACAGCCTCAGAACCTATTTAGAGTCACTATGATTTTTTGTTTGTTAGTTTTCAGGTATTTTTAAAAATTAAAAGATAATTTTATTGGGGGCTCTTAGAACTCTTATTATAATCCATTCATTGATTGCATCAGGCATATTTGTACATATGTTGCCATCATTCTTTCCTAGACATTTTCTTTATATTGAGCCCTTGGTATCAGCTCCTCTTTTTAGAGTTGCTATGATTTAGAATCAACTAGATGGCATTGGGTTTGGTTTGGTGTGTATGTCTTTAATTATGCATAGACAGTTGGCAGAGAATTTATTAGGAAATCATTTTTTTACAATGATATAATCATGTGGTTCTTTTGTGTGATTTATATTGTGTCAATTTGGTTTTATCCTCTCTTTTTTAAGCCCTCTTCACCACCACTGCCATCTTTATTCATTTTTCTCATTTGTTTGTCAAACTTTTTGTTGTGGATTAGGTGAAGGTTTGCAAAGCCAAGCTTTGCATTTTAACAATTCATATATGCAACTCCCAGTGTCATCCCCTCACTTAGCCCATTTCCTCCTTGTCTGTCCTGTTTTCATTCCTCCTCCTTTTCTGACCTTGGGTAAATACTATCCCCTTTAAAAGAAAATGTTATTTTCATATAATTCACATGTCATGCAAGTTAACAGTTCAGCCATACCAAGAGTTGTGCAATCAATTTCAGAACATTTTCTTCTTTCTCATACTCGTGGTTGTTAGTTTTCCATTCCCCACCCCAACTTCCCGGGCCTGGCCTTATGTAATTATTACTCGAGTTACTGTCTCCGTAGATTTACCCATCCTGCATGTCATATACAGAAAGTCACACAAAACACAAACAAGAAACAAAGACAAAACAACTCAATCAAAAAGAAAGCAGAAAATATTAAAAACAGAAACAACTTTACAATGGGCCAAAAGGGAAACCAAATGATCCAAACAAAAAACAAATGTACTGCTGCTATAGAGCATGCTGACTCAGTGATCCTGTGGGGCAGGGCAGATCTGGGCCCCTGGATTCTGAGGCTAACTCTCTGGAAGTGGAATGGCTCAACCACTGCCACTGGGGATCCCTTGATCAAATGATGAGGTGTCATATTTTAGCCTAACTACATCTGCCATAATTGACTTTACAAGGCCCTCAATTTAGTAGCAGGGCTATACACATCCCTGGACTCTGATCAGAGGAGATTCAACAGAGAAGCTGCCCTTTTGATTGATGTAACTGCCTGATTGTTCTAAGGAGGTGAGTTCAGTTCCAGAACTGAAGTGTAAGGACCATAGTCTAGAAGGTTCTGTGAACCCATTGGTAAGCTGGTCTCTTATGATTTTGAGTTCTGGTCCACGTTTTTCTCCCACTCTGTCCAGGATCTTCCAACGTGACTCTCTTCAGAGCCTTGGTAGTGATAGCTGTGCACCTTGTTCTGGGCTCTCCTGTTGCAGGTTCCTTGGGACTGTTTGTATTTGGGTCTTTCGTTTTTGCTTCTCCTCTCGTCTGCATGGGCTGAGACCAAGCGTTCGTTCCACCTTCCGTGGCTGCTCGCAGCTTTTGAGACTACTCATCTAAGTAGGATATGGCAACATTGTGTTTGTGTAATAATACCTGTATGATTATACCAATTGACCTTGGTGCCTCAATCATCATTGCTTTGGTTTGTTTTACCCTAATGCCTTTCCTATCTTTTTTTGTTGTGTTTATTGGCCATTTGTATATTTTCTCTGATGAAATATCTGCTCAATTCTTTGCCTTTTAGAAAATTGCATTTATTTAAAATATCATATTTGCCCTCTTTTGGTTGAATTCCTTATACATTTTATTGAATAGTTATCAGATTTCTGTTTTTCGGGTTTGTTTTTTTTTTACATTCTAAAGGTTGCCATATTACCTTGTTGGGCATGTTGTGGGTTCATTTTTATTTTTCAGTGTTTTAAGGAATGGGTATTATTGAAATTTTGAGTGGTGTGCAGGTTTGGTAAATGTCTTTTAGTGCCCTGGACATTACTACATAGTGAAGAATTATTGTAAAAAAAAAATCCAGTATCACCCTCACTGAAACACGCCATCTTTCAATTGGATAGGCTTTTTATTTTTTTATTTTTTCTGATTTATTTTATTTAAGTTTTATTAGCACTTCATCTACATGTCGTACAATTTAATAAATTAATTATATCAAGAAGGGTTGTACAATTATCATCACCTTCAATTTTAGAAAATTTTCTTCTTGTACTTGTCGTTATTCATGTAATCAGTATTTTAATTGATAGGCATTATATATCCAATTTTAATAAACCTTATAGTAATCATACAAGTTATAGCTTTAAGATGTGAACTCTGTTAGGATTAAGTTCATTTTTCGATAAGATGAAGCTCCCAAATAACAGGGCCAGCTCCATGGTCATCAGAGACACAGACTCCTTTTGTATTTTCATTTCCTTTCTCAAGGGATAGTTGTAGTCTGAGGTGCTTCTCAGGTTCAGCCATCATATCTGCATTCTAAGCAGCAGGCAAAAAGCTGGGGAAGGGATGTGATTACTTAAAAGATATTTTCTAGAAGTTGTTTGACTGAGTAATAGGTACTTGGGAAGTACAGTTTTTATCAGAAGAAAAAAGGCTAGCAGGAGAAAAGCAACCTCTATATATGCCTCCAAATTCAGGTAGCTCCTTAAAAAAATCATTTTCCACCTATCCATTCCTCACTTACTGGTTTGTCATCCAACTTTGCATATATAACAGTAGTGAAAACCGTTTTTTGAATATCTTTTGCCTCAGTGACATACTGTATATACTCGAGTATAAGCCAGCCTGTCAGCTGAGGCACCTAATTTTACCACAGAAACTGCATTAAAAATGTGCTGAAAAACTTGGCTGATCCACGAGTATATACGGTATGTAAGGCAGTAACCAGAACTGGGGTACAAGATAAGAGTAATGCTGGCTGTGATGGTTAAGGTGCTGTGTCAACTTGATTGGCCATGGTTGTCCATGATTGGTTGGTATGATTAACCCTGCATTTTCATATAACACTGATTTTTGTATAATGACCTGGTCTTTGAAAACCTATGGTTGTCACTAATTAAAAAGTGTGTATGCTGATATTTTTATTTGGTATTTAAAGTTTTCCTGCAAAATAAAAGTTTGGAAATAGCTGTGTAGTGGTGGCCTTACTCCTTCTTCTATATATGTAAATATAAGTATATATAGTAGGTGTATTTGCTTATCTGCACATTCATCTTGACATTTTGACTCATGATCTAATGCTGACAAAATGTATGAAGATCTGTTTATGTCCATTTCAACTGTTCATAATTAATGAATGTTCAGGAACTAAGTCACTGTGATAGCCAACATAATTTAAGTATTTATGCTTTGTTTTAAAACTTTATAGGTGCCCTTGTTTTGGGGTCAAGTAGTGATTAAATATTCTTTCAATGTGAAAAGTCATAGCAGTGAAATTGTAAACAAATGAGGCGTTGTTTTTAGAAAACTTCATATGTAACATTTTCAGTCAATGGCAATTTCCTTTTTTCTTTTTTTTAAATAAATAATTTTATTGGGGCACTTACAGTTCTGATAACACTCCATACATCTATTATATTAAGCACATTTGTATATATGTTACTTTCATTTCATTTCCTTTTCCAAACATTTTCTACGTGAGCCCTTAGTATCTGCTCCTCTTTTCCCCCCTCCCCCATTCTCCCACCCTTGTGAACCCTTGATAAATTATAAATTTTTATTATTTTCATATCTTAAACACCATCTGCTGTTTTCCTTCACACACATTTCTGTTGTTCGTCCCCATCGGGGTGGTGGGGGTGATATGTCGATCATTGTGATTGGTTCCCCTTTCTCCCCCCACCTTCTCCCTACCCACATGGTATTGCTACTCCCATTACTGCTCCTCAGGGGTTTATCAGTCCTGGATTCCATGTATCTAGACTTCTTATCTGTACCCGTGACATGTTCCAGTCTAGCTGGATTTATAAAGTAGAACTGGGGTCATGATAGTGGGGTGGTGGTGGTGGGGGGAAGCACTACAGTCAAGGGTAATTTTCATTAAGCAGGTTTTTAAGTTCCTTAGCTTAGAGTAACACTTTGCCATTAGTATTTTAACTTTTACAATGATAAATAACATTGATTTGTATCTTTATTAGGTTGAATTATTGGAAATGGAAAAATCCCAAATCCGTTTACAGTGTGAAGAACTCAAAACTGAAGTGGAACAGTTAAAATCTACAAGTCAACAGATAGGAACAGTCTCAACTTCAAGTAATATTGAGGAATCTATAAATTATGCTGATGGAGAAAGGTAATCTTGAATGAGGCTGTGTGTGGGTCTGCAATGCTGGTTAGCATAATAACTGTTAGTATGAAGGAAATTATTGAATGTCTGCTGTGGTCCATCATTATAATAAACAACGAGATATATAATAAAAGTAGCACATCACGATCCTTCCCTTCAAGGAGCTAACAGTTTAGGTCCAATTTACAGAATTAAGTTATAAAGCAGGGGGTTTTGAGTGGAGGCTCACAGCCCATCTGTAGACAATTGGACATACTCCCACAGAAGGTTATAAGGGAGGGATGATTCAACCAAGATGCAGTATAGCACCGATAAAACACACATCATTCCTCTAGTTCCTGAATGCCGCCCCCCCCAATTGTGACCCAGTTCTACCTTATACATCTGGCTAGATCGGAGAACACACATTGGCACAGATAAAAGCTCTCAACCCATGGAATTCAGGACAGATAACTGCTCAGGACAGTAGTGGGAGTAACGATATGAGGGGAGGGAGATGGCTGGAGAGGGGGAAGGGAGATAAAAGGGGAACCCATCACAAGGTTGGATACATAGCACACGGCACCCCCCACTCCAACAAGGGGACGAATAACAACTCTTGGTGAAGGGAGACAACGGACAGTGTAAGATACGAAACAACTATAAAATTGATCAAGGATTCACGAAGGTGGTGGAGGGAGGGGAAAAGAAAAAGAGGAGCTTTTACCAAAGGCTAAAGTAGAAAAGGTTTTAGAAATGATGATGATGGAAACATGCACAAATATGCTTGATACAATTGATGTATGAAATGTTATGGGAACTGTAGGAGCTCCCAATAAAGTGATTAAAAAAGAAGAAGAAGAAGAAGAAGGATTAAAGCACTTGTTTGGTTAGAGGTTGAAAAATCTGTGGCGGGAAAAGTGAAAGTAAGTTTAATTTTGAACTATGGGTTGAATTTGGCCAAGGTTAGAATACAAGCAACTATTACATGAAACATATTTCAAGCTGGTTTTTAAATTTTTTATTTTTTTTAAACTTTTAGACTTGCTACCATATGTGTTTGGTTTTTGTTTTTATTTTTTATCATCTTTGTTTGGAGGCCTGGTCAGCTAACCAGAAGGTTGGAGTTTTGAACCCTCCCAGCAGCATCTCTGAGGTGTGGGTGAAAGTCCTGCTGTTCTGGTCCTGTAATGGTTGTAGGGGAGAAAGTCTTAAGGGACAGTTTTACAGTTTCCATCTAGCAGCAGTTGGCTTTGTGTAGCACCTTGGTACTATAGTAACAGCATTAATTTAACATTATTTTGTAATGTGCTTTGACCACTGTGGCTGTATGATCGGTGCTAAAGTCAGGTAAAGCAAGCCCTCCCACTTTGTCCTTGAGGAATTCTCTGCTCATCCTGGGCTGGCAAGGATCTTTTGTAGGACTGGGTTTCTTTGAACGTATTCTTTTAGTTTTTCCTTGTCTGGGAAAACTCTTCTCCTTTTATCTTATGGATACTTTGGCTGGAGATAGTATTCTTGGGTTTGTGTTGTTTTCCTTCAGTTTTTGGAATATGTTACTCCATTCTCTTCTTCATCGTATTTGCTGATAGGTCTGAGCATATTCTTATTTGGGTGCCATTATAGGTGACTGCTTGTTTTTCCCTAGCTGTTCTTGAGATTTTATCCTTTTCCTCAAAGTTGGATAGTTTAACTATTATATGCCTTGGTGACTGCTTCTTGGGATTTAGTCTAGCTGGTGTTCTTTCAGCCTTCTGAATGGTTGCCTGGTTTTCATTCATTAAGTTGGCGAAGTTTTCTTTTAAGGATTCCCTTGCTATTTTTGCCGTTGACTTCTTGGTGGTGTCTTGTTCAGGTAGTCAAATTATTCTAATGTTGTTCCTCTTCATAACATTAGATATGGCTCTCAGGTTTGTTGTTTTTTTCAGCTTCTCTGATTATCTTATTTGACTGCCTTTCCTGTTTGCTGAGGTCTGCTTGGTTATCCTCTAGGTGACTGGTACGATTCTCTGCCTCCTCAAATCTGTTGGCGAAGTCTGTGAATTTGCTATTGGCTTTGTTATCTGGTCCCTTAGGCCTTGTATTTCCCTTTGGCGCATGTCCTTTATCTTTTCTATAATTTCTTCCTTTTCTGTATTGCTTCCCTCATATCCTGTATGACTCCAAGCAGAATTCTGAAGATTTCTTTCTGTGGCAGATCAATGTCTGCTGCTTCTGTGAATTTCATTAGTTCAGGGCTTCTTCCAACATTCCTTTTTGTTTCTCCTGTTTTTGGTTGAGATTTTTGGGGCTAGTTGCTGTTTACATGTCATTTTAGAGGAACCTGGTGCCATTTCCCAGAGAGTTGAAGACCACTGGGCTCTCTTTGGGAGACTCGTAAGAATGGTTCTTTAAACTGCCTGCAGCTAACTGCACTGGGGGGGTTGGGCTACCGCCTCGTCTTCCTGTGGTTTCACTCTTTCCATAACCAACCAGTATTCTGTTATTGGGAGGATGAGTTGGATGTCCCCTCAGGTAACAATGGTCAGGTGATTGTTGGCTTGCGAGGATAGTACTGCACTGGATACTCTCCTAGGAAGCCATAGGAGTGTCCTACGGAGGTTTGGAGGGCATGCGGGGTGCTGGCTGCAACAGGAGTGCCACGGAGGGTAGGTGGGTGTGCCCGCTTTGCTGTAGAGCACTGTGGATGACAGGTGGAATTGCCCTATTCAGCAAGATCACCAGGTAGGTAGGGTGAGGTTCCTGCAGCAGTGTGGAACACTGGAGAGATCAGCCTGCAATTTCATCTCTGTGGTTTGTTCTCCTCATTTCAAGGAGCCTCTGTGGTGCCATGGTTAGGTGCTCTGTTGCTAACCAAAAGATTGGTGGTTCAAACCCCCTCCAGCTGCTCTTCTGAAGAAAGCACCTGATGATCTTAACCACTGCTGTTATGTTCATTTTGAGTTGGATCATGACTCTCTAGGACAGAGTAGAACACCTCCATAGGTTTCCAGGCTTGTAAATCTTTATGGAAGCAGAGAGTTCGATCTTTTTCCTTTGAGGAGTCAGACCTTTCAGTTAGCGGCCAAAAACTTAATAATCACTCTGTCACTAGGGCTCTTAGGGGTCAGGTCCACTCTTGTCTTGTAGGATCACTATTGGAATCAACTCAATGACACTCACCAATAACATCCTCATTTTCAATGTACCTTCCCTAAATTTGGCTTTTAGGATATCACAAAATTAGCCATTGCCTGTGGCTCAGTGATTATATTTCACCTGATAAATGATGGTCAGGAAACAGTTCTCAATTCTGTTCTAAGAATTAGTACTTATTAATAACTAGTAAGTGAATGATCGCCCCATCTCATTAATGTCTAAAACAGGCCGGGGGTTCTGGTGTGATTTGGTTTGATTTTGATAGTGAATCTGATGTGGTAGATTGTGGTCACACTAATGGTGATGTTACTGCATAGTCAAGGGATAAAGTTGTAAAATTGTACTTGGTAAATCATGACTTGATTGCCTAAACACATAGTATTCCTGAGAAATATTTCCCACTGTCTAACTTGAAGTTTTACTGTGCTTTGAACAAAACATTGTTTTTTTTGAAAATGCATGATAAAATTATCTCTATGGACTTTAGCATATTACAGGTTCATAAAAGTCCTATAATTTAAAAATCTTACTTTATTCACCCCAAAGATCTGTGAGTTAGTTTGTTCTGCGCCGCTTGCCCTTTATATCGTATGAATGAGTAATCTCAGCAATCATGTTTTAGGAAACATTTCCATCTATGGTGTCTGCAGATAGTGTAGCACAACGGCTGCAACAGTGGGCCTGAACATAGTAACAATGGTGAAGGTGCGCTGGCGGTGTTCTCCTGAATTCATGCACACGGGTCCTTCAGAGTCAGAACCCACTCCTTGACACTTAAAAACAATAACGTATCTGCTTTACTAGTAGATGTTTCTTCACTGCAACTTAACAAATGTGTCGCTGGGAGTAAAACAGTTTTAAATTGCATGTAAATATTAAACTGTATTTTAATTCTCTGCTAACACTTGGATATTTGTATTACAGCCTTAAACTTCGATCTCTTCGTGTCAATGTGGGACAGCTGTTGGCCATGATTGTGCCTGATCTAGATCTTCAACAAGTGAATTATGATGTTGATGTAGTGGATGAAATTTTAGGGCAAGTTGTTGAACAAATGAGTGAAATCAGTAGTACTTAATACATTTGATTATTTGAGATGATAAAAATTTGCTCAGTGCTTTTGATTGTACAGCTTTCAAAATGTAAACAATGTTGTTTTATGGCTATAATAGGTAAAAGACTGAAGAACCATAATCTTTGCAATATGCAGTCAAAGTGTGTTGAATTCTATGCATTCACGTGTGACCACAAATACTGTGGACGCATTATCATACCTTTGAAAAGAACTTGAGTATTGTTGGTATTGATTTGCTGAGTATCTGACTCTAGGTTCTGTTTTGAGATGTAAATATTTGTAATTAAGTCTGCACATATTTTTTAGTACTGTGAGGAAAGGAGGAAAGGATGGCAGTGTTGTTCACAAGAGCTTTTCAGGTTGCCCCCAGCCTTTGGAGTCTTTCCTGGCTCCTCAGAGTGTTTTTGCTCCGAATGGAGGGCTGTGCCATACTACTACACAAGGGAGACGTCACTTTTAATTTTTCCTCCTCAGAAAAAAGCTTCAATGGGACTTTAGGAAAATGTCATAGCAATCCTGAGAAGATTTAGCTGTGAGTGACTTCAGCATTAATGTTTCTTTTGTATTAATTCCTGTCTCCTAAGAGATTTTTAGTCACGAAAACAAAGAAGCTAAAACTGACTCTAGGTTGCCAGGGCTTCCTTGTGCTGAGATTGCCAATCATGGTTAAATGCAAAGTGTTTTATATGGTCTTAGTGTAAAATAAAATTATTCATTATATTAACTGTACCATCAAGTTTACTTTGAACCCCATGTTTGGCTGCGTTGTCAGCATCGGGTGGGCACAATACTTTAAAAATATTTCTTCCTGTGAAATTTCCTGTACAGCCTTTTGTTGGACTACTACAGGCTAGTGTGAGTTGAGGAAGACAATCTTTCTCAAAAAATATATTATACTTTTTATTATATTACAGATGTAAGTGTTTTATCCTGGAGTTAGAGCCACAACCAGCCCTAGGATTATAGTATTACATGACATAAAAGATCATGCTTAATTGACCACATGTTTTGTGCAATTTGAAAGAGATGGCTTTCTAGTGTATAAGTATGTGTATATATAATTAAAAATCATATTTTCCACAATGAAATGTGCATTATTTTTTCAAAGTTTTATCATTGTTATTTATTATTCCTTTTGTTTCTGAACATTCAATACTTGTTCATTTTCTATGTATGCTTAATTACATGTCACATGCAATATTAAATTTTTACTGTATATTAACTTCTGGATGAGCAAATAAATCAATTGTTTTTTATTTGCTTGGTAAAATAATTGAAAGTGTATTTTTCGTATGAAGCTGATTTTCTGTCACAATTGTATCTGCCCAAATTTTAAAATATCTTGTAATAAAAAAATGATGCCTACTTTTCCAGATATCACTTCAAAAAATATAATATATTATATATTAACTGTATTTTAAAACTAATTTGAGAACCTCTTTTTTTCTAACCTTTTATTGTGAATCAGGTGGGAGTTTACCTATCGGCTCACTTTTGCATTCAACAACCTGTCATACCTCTCGATGGTTTATCTTGCCTAGACAACCACCCCCCCACAATCTTCTTGTATTGGATATTGTCTTCCCCATCACCCAAGTTAACAGCTGGCAATCCTCTAACATATTGCTTTCTCTTCCCACTCTGGGAACTACCAGAGTCTGTTTCTTTGGGAATGAAAAACTTTTATCTTGACTTTTAAACATATAACTGGCCTCATGCATAATTTGTTATGGACTAACCTCCCTGAGCATAGTGCCCTCAATCTACCTGTGTCATGAGGTGTTGCACAGGTTCATTATTACTCTTTTGGCAGTATGTAGTGATGGAAGTTTATCTTTATTTATTTATACCTCTTCAGTGACAGAATGCTTAGATGTAAGTTTATTGATGCTTTCTTCCACCAATGGGCATTTAGGTATTTTCACCTTGCTCTTGGGAATAATACTGTGATGAACAGAGATGTGTATATATCTACTGTGCTCTTTCTTTTTTAAAAGATGTGTACCAAGTAGAAGGATCGCCAACTCAATAGTATTTCTATTCCCAGTTGTTTTGAGAGGAACCACCATACTGCTTTCCACCATGACTATACTGTTTTACATCCCCACCACCAGTGTGTGGGGTTTCCAAGAAATTGAGCTGCTTCGAAGACCGTAATGCTATTTATACTAAGGCTGAGCTTACCTTTCAGTAGAGTGAACAAGCATGTGCATATGTGTAAGGAAGAAGAAACGGGCATGCTTCAGATGTGTGGATATTTAAATTTAAGTAGTGATTCTTTATGCAAGGTGGACCTTTTCCCTTTTGGTGACCTTTAACATCTTGCAAAATCATGATTTTTTTATATGGCTATTAGTGGAAAAACGATTTACAGGTAATAAGAGAAACATGCTTGCTAAATTGATTCTTTCAAAGTATGTATTTTTAATCCTTTATCAGTATGGGGCTTTGAAATCTTAAGAAATCTTCACAGGAAACCTTGGCATTCTTGATATATACAATATTTCGGGGGAGAGACCTGTTAAACTTTTCAAAAGGCTAGTACAGCAGAACGCTACCTTCAACTAGCATTTATTACTTAAACCACAAGGAGAGGTGAACCAGAATAATTCTTACAAAGTGGATCAGATTTCATCAAGACCGAAAATCTTAATGAAAACCAAGTGACTGACTACTTTCACTGTCGAAAAATGTCCGTACCAAATTTTAATTTTGATGATGTCCAATTTATTTTTTCTTAAATTGCTCATGGTTTGGCGTTTTACCTGTGAATCATTGCCAAATACAGTAATCCTAAAGATTTCCTTTGACAAATTGTATAGTTAAGGCACACATGTAAAATTATTGATCTATTTGGGGTTTTTGTGTAGAGTATGAGGTAATGATGCATCATTCCTTTGCATCTGAAACTCCAGTTGCCTGAACATCATTTCCCCATGGAATGGACTTGGAACCTTTTCAAAAAAACAGTTGGCTTTAGATGTAAATATTTAATTCTGGACTCTAGTTCTATTCCATCTGTCTATATGTTTATCGATATACCAGTGCCACGTTTTGATGACTACTTCTTTGTACTAACCCTTCAGAATTTTCTTTTTTTTTTTTTCCCTTCAGAATTTTCAAGCACATTCTAGCCATCATAATTATATCTAGTTTATTATCTCTAAAACATAAAGTCCTTTTTTGAAGCCAAAAATAACTGTTATATGCCTCTCGTAAAGTAATAACTTTATTAACAGGTGGAATCTGTTCAAGTTTCTACGGTCATTTCATAATTACCTTTCCAGGCAGTTCATGTTGGAATCTAAATAAAATTGACACAGTATATTTGGTTGATGTGTCTCTGAAGTTTCTTTTCATCTCTATGTTTTCCATCCTCTGTCTTTAAGGTACCACTGGGGTGGATAAGGAGCCCTGGTGCTGCGGTAGTGCAGTGCTTGGCTGCTAACCAGAAACCGTCATCTCCACAGGAGAAACCTGGCTGTCCGAGGCCACAGCTGTGGAGATGCTGTGGAGCTATTCTCTGTAATAGAGGGACTCTGTGAGCCTGAATCGGCTCAGTGGCAATGAACTTGTGTGAGGTGAGAAACCAGCTCTCTCACAAATTGAACCATGGTCAAGAGGGGCATGGTTGCAATTGAGATGGATGTAGAGATAGAAGATAAAAGTGTGAAGGGGGCTCCTGGAGCCTAGGAACTCCAAGGCCCAGAACTTCATTCAAGGGTGTTTTTTACACAGTTGTAGTCATGCATCCTACAAAGGATTTGTCGACAATTCTTTGAAGACAAGCAGTAGCTTAGCCAAATTGTCTATAGTCTGAGGGGAGTATAACTGAACACCTGAAGAATGATATTTTTCAGCAGTTAGCCAGGAAACAGGAGAAAGTTTATCTTAGTTGAAGGTGAGACCACAGTGTCTCAGCTCCCTGAGTATGAGCTGTCTGTTTTTTCCTATGGGCCTTTCCCTAGACGAATATGGTGATGGCTTAGTCTTGGAGAAGGAAACGAGGCTCAAATTCCCACTAATGCACTCTTGCTCCGAAGCCCAGGACCGTCTTCTGCTCCAGGTTCTGTCATTCTTTCTCAGTCCATCTTAAGAATCTGCTCCCACATTTTGTTTTAGGGTGTCTTTTAAGTTTGCCAATCACTTGAAATAATCCCTTTTGTTCTAATTAAGCCTCCAAATGTCATACAGGCTTATATGATTTGCTTTAGATTAGTATCTATCATTTAAAGCATTATTCAGGTTTGAAAGGAAAAAAAAATTGAGTTACTTAGTCATAAATCCATTTTAATATAGGGATGCTTGAGGTTTGACAAAAGTATACACTAGTGCCCCACTGTTGTAAAGTGCAGACCTTTCAGGGCAGGCACACTGTCCCTTTGTAGCCATTCCCCATTGACCTACATCATGATCATGATCACTGGGTTTTAACTGTTTGTTCTAGTAGTCCCACTGAATGGGACTGTCTATAATAGAGTTTGGTCGGACTGGGTTGGTTTTCTGAGTCTTGCAAATTTCCTATCTTTGAGTACAGGCTTCCCACTTTTGCTCCTTTTAGTGGAAAACACTTGAATTTTCCTACTCTTAACAGGTTTTATAGGTCTTACATAGGATAACAGCTTTCTTAGGATTTACTGTGTACATTAAAACCACACGAGAAACTTCCAAAGATGACAGCGGCCAGGAGAGTCTCCTACAGATACTGATATTAAACCTGGATAAAATGGATGTGTATGAAAATCCTAATGATCTACATATATAACCCCCTCCCTGGGGGATGGACAACAGAAAAGTGGGTGGAGGGGGACATCGGTGAGTGTAAGACATGAAAAAATAAAAACTATCAAGGGTTCATGGGGGAGGGAGGGGAAAAATGAGCTGATACCAATGGCTCAAGTAGAAAGCATGTTTTCAGAATGATGGCAACAACTGTACAAATGTGCTCAACACAATGGATGTGTGTATGGATTGTGATAAGTTGTACCAGCCCCCAATAAAATGATTTTTTTTAAAAGGAATAGCTGGTACTCTACTGAAAAACCAGTGGAACCCAGTTCTGCTCTGACACACAGGGTCACAATGAGTCAGCATCTATGCAGTTTTTTTTCTTAATGACGTGCAAATCATTGCTCTTATGTACTTTACCTATTTCCAAAGCCCTTCAAATATCTCTTGCCTGATTAAATCACCATGGTTTGTGGGGAAAAAAACAACCATTTGAAGGTACTGAAAAAGGACCAACGGGCAGAAACTATTCTTGACTAACTGGAAAGGCCAGCACAAGCCTTGGTGGCATTTTTGACTGAAGGATTTCTTTGCTTAGCTCTGGGTATGAGGAGGTGGTGACAGCTGTACAAGTTTGGTAATAGAATTCTGGGTTTGCAGAGCAGACATTTAACAAGGCAGTGCAAGAGGAGGGTGAATCCTAAGTGACAACTTTTGCAAGCCAAAGCACGAGCAGCCCTTCTAGAAAGATTGCCAGCTGTAAACTGCATGTTTCACCACCACATACTAGAATTGGCAGGATCCAAGCACGCAGAAATCCTGGATCACTTCAACCTTTTCTCATTTTACCATGCATGATGTGACCTACAGTGAACCCTCGTTTATCGCGGTTAATCGGTTCTAGACCCTACCGTGATAAATGAAATTCCGCGAAGTAGGATTCCTTATTTGTAAATCAAATATTTTCGTAGTTAGAGCATAGAGGACATGAAAAAACACCCTTTAGTCACCATTACACTCGTATTACCCAATTCATTAAACGAAAAAGGGAAAATACAGTAAAACATTTTGGACGTTACAATTATCATTTATTATTTATTATATTATTTATGGCATCTATTACAGTATTACATATTTCACATACAGTATTATTATACATAGTTCTTACAAATACTGTAATCAATAGCCTATGAAATGACTTAAGGGACGTACTCTACAGGTGGGTCGCCATCTTTTTCCTCTGAAGGAGCGGGTGTAGACAGTGGGTGTTACACAAAAACCGCGATAGAGTGAAGCAGCGGAAGTCGAAGCGCGAAGTGGCGAGGGTTCACTGTATTCGGTTCAGTTGTGAGGATTTTGATCTTACATTGAGTTGGAGCCCAAACTAAAGGCTGCAATCCTTGATCTTCAGCAAATGCTTCAAGTCTTCACCATCAACAAGCAAGGCTGCTGTCATCTGATACATCAGAGCAAACTGTCAAGCAAAGATGTGAAGGTAAGGGGGAGTGGCCAGGGCAAGGGAACTAGATGCATTGAAAGAGAACTACCTGAATGGGAAGAATGAGATTGACACATTGTGAAAATGTAACCAATTCCCATTGAGGAAGTTGGATAGACATTGCTAAATGATAACCTGATTTGCTTGCATGAACTTTAACCCCAAATAATGAAATATATTTACAAAAACCAAAACACTATCTAAAGCCCTCTCAATGTAATTTTCAACTTCCTTTGAGCCCCCAAATCCAAAACAACCTCTGCTGATGGGTTAGAACATGTAACCCAAGACTCTACCAGGTTCCTTGGTCCCTGATACAGAGTATAAAGCGCCCTGCTCATCAGGGGCTCAAATAGAAAGAAAATGCTTTGAAAATGATGATGGCAGCATACATGCAAATGTGCTTGACACAATGGATGTATGTATGGATTGTGATAAGAGATGTAAGAGCCCCCAATAAAAGTATTTAATAAAACAACAAAAACACTGTTGAGTTGATTCGGAGACTCGTGGCCAGGCACATGCTGCAGAAGAGACTCGCTCGGTAGTGGTTTCTTGACTAAGCCACCATGCCTTTCTTTCGTGGTGTCTCTGGATGGGTCCGAACTGCTAACCTTTAGGTTAGTAGTGGAGTGCGATACATCACTCAGGGGCCTGGTAAAAGGTATCGCTGTCAGACATTTGCTCCAGTAAGCGAATCCTATTTTGTTAGTTTTGGGTGCGTCTATCCACGAATCCTGAGGGAATCTTTCTCTCCAATGATAACAGCACATTTCTTGAGGGCGCATCTATCTACTAGCTTCGCTTTCTCTGATGCCAGCGTAGCGTCTAGCACCTAAGACATGCTCAATAAATGTTTGTTGAGAGAATAAATCAGCAAGGAAACAAATCATCCATGCATCTGCGCAGTAAGTCTGGCAGCGAATCAATGAACCCGCGGGGTCAGGGAGCAGAAGCGGACAGCTTTCGGCGGGCGTTGGGGCCCAGCGGGAACGAGGCGGGGCTCGGCCAAGAGAGGCTTGTCCTGCGCAGGGTCGCGACGGGGGCGGGACGATAGTTGGCTCCGCCCACGTGGAGGCGGAGCCTGCGGCGCGCGGGAATTAACGCGCGCGAGGCGGTATGGGTTGGCGGAACCTTTGACTGTCCCAGCTCCTGAAGGTAAGTTTTTAGGGCTCAGGTTCTGCGGTCCCCTTGGCCTTTCGGGCCGGGATGGACTAGGCCCAAGGAAACAGGCGCTTCCAGTGGGGCGGGCAGCCCGCGGGGACTGGCGATGGAGCGGGCGGCGCGCTTTCGGGCGCCGGGTCTCCTCCCAGGCGGGACCCAGAGCGGCCTCCACCCTGCTGGACCTGGTTTAGGCCTCTCAGGCCGAGCGACTTGACCCCGGAAAGGAGGTCTCCTTCCTCCTTCCCCGAGACACTGGCCCTTTCCCCGTGCGGTCCCACCTCATTCCCAGGGCACAACTCCCACAATGGCGGGGTGGGGATGGCTTAGCCCGGCCTGGGCCCCTGCCTGGATGTTTTCATTTTGCTTTTCCGGTTGGAGCAGGAGACCCATTAGCTTTTAGAAGCCGTGGCTCAGCGAGCCTGGTAAATGTTCCATCTCGATGCTAACGTGAACGTCCTTTCGCCAGATAACATGCCTTGTAAGTGATTAGCCCGTTTTTGCATTCATAATAAGCCCTCAAAAAATGTTTGCTCTTGCAATAGGGTTATTCAATCCCTTGCCAACGTCTTCCAGCTTTACCGTGTCTTTGGGGGAAAAACGCTGCTGGAGAACCTTTTGCCCCTCCGAGACCCAGAAGGATGAAAGTCATCACTTGTGAAATAGCCTGGCACAACAAGGAGCCGGTGTACAGCCTGGACTTCCAGCATGGGACAGCTGGGCAGATCCACAGACTGGCCTCTGGAGGGGTGGACACTACCGTGAGGGTAAATGGGAGAGAAGTAGAAGAATCCTAGCTGCTCTCTCTTGCTGCAGCCTTCTTCCTTCCGCTTTGTAAACTAACCTTGTCAGACTCAAACCACTGGTCATACAGTCCAGAATGATAAAAAACTCAGGGCCTGGAGTGAGCCAGGAAAGCCAGAGAGCCACTTTCTTTGAATAGATTTAGGGTGGCATTGGGTGGAACATACCAAGAGCACTGGTGGCGTAGTGGGTTACATACATGTTGTGCTGCTAACCGAAAGCTCAGTACTTCAAATCCACCAGCCATCAGTTCACCAGGGGCAGTTCTACCCTGTCCCGGAGTCAGCATTGACTCACTGGTAGTGAGTTTGGGTGGAACGTGTGGGTAGCATATAATGGCTACCTGCAAGGCTGGAGGTTTAAGTTCATACAGCGGTGCCTCAGAAGAAAGGCCTGGTGATCTACTTTGGGAAAACCTGCCACTGAAAACCCTCTGAAGCACAGTTCTACTCTGACACGCCCAGGGTCACCGTGAGGCAGATGCAACTAGATGGTAACTGGCCGTAGATTGATGCTGTGGGCTGCCTCAGTTGAGAATCCCGAGCCAGGTTCCTGTCAGAGAATTTGTTAGAGGTAAAATGGAGGAGGGCAGGCCTTGGGACTATAGTTTATGTTGAATTTAACATTGAAAGTGGAAAACTAGGCTTTCCCTTTTGAAAATAGACTGCTCTTAGCATGAACTGTTTTAATAATGGTGTTCAGGGTGCACCGTCTAGTGGCTTCTTAGTATATATGTCTCATAATGCATGTTTTGGTATCAATAGATATGGAAAGTAGAAAAAGGACCAGATGGAAAAGCCATTGTAGAATTTTTGTCCAATCTTGCTCGCCATACCAAAGCCGTCAACGTTGTGCGTTTTGCTCCAAATGGGGAAATTTTAGCCTCAGGAGGAGATGGTGAGTATTGTTCTTACAAATTCTCTGGAAGCCAAGTCCTCTGTGTTTTGTGACATGTGAGCTCTCTGTGCCTTGTTATTATAGAAGCCATGGGACCCTCTTCATCGAACATATAGGTCCTGGGTGGGGAACCTTTTTTGCTGCCAAAGACCATTTGGATATTCATATAAGCCGTGGGCTGCACAAGATGATCACCTGAGACATTGGGCTTCTATATTTGGTCCAACTGTGAAGTAACTCACAACTAACGTGGTGGCTGGAGGAGCCCTGGTGGTGTAATGGTTACACTTGGGCTGAGATTCTCATGGCCGGCAGTTCAAAATCACCAGCAGCAAATCGGGAGAAAGAATGCTTCTCTTTGGTCAGGCATGTGATGTTAGCTGGTATTGATGATTTCTTAGGCTTTATATGGCCTTTGGGCTGGACATTGCCCATCCCTGAAGATGAGTAAAGTAATGTTCTGGGGAGGAGGTCAGAGGGGTGAGATGGCGCCTTACCCACATGCTTTCACTAGGCTAGTTTGGAAACAGGAACGGTGTTTGCTGTTCAGACACAGATGCAAAGGCCCCTGTGCCGGCCTTGTTTGGTCATTAGGTCTGCAGTGATCAGGGTCCATCCCCAGTATCTGTGTAATTAATTAGTTGGCATAGGGACTGCCTACCAAGTTGTGTGTGTTTGGTGGTCGTAGATTAGCTCACGCTTTGTTGCTTTTGCTGACATGCGATAAACTCTACTGTAGAAGTCAGCCTTCCAACCATGCACAGCCAGGAGCGATTGGCCTTCCCTCTCATCCGTGGTTCTTGGCTTCTGGGGTCTGTTTGTGTGTTTCTCTCATCCCACTGTTTGTGTGGATACCTTCAGACTCATTCATGTGGCAGGCACCTTGCAGTGGTGATGGGTTGGGCTGGGGACCCACTGTTTAAGGTGACTTTTTATGACTTTGATTTGGTGTGAGTGCAGTCTGAATAGTGGGGACCTTGGGTGATCCAGACAGTTAGCGACAGCTTGGTGGTTTGAGCCCACACAGAAATACTTCAGAAGGCGCGCCAGGTGACCTACTTCCAAGAGGTTACAGCCTTGAAAACCCTGTGGACAGTTCTGCTTTGCACTCATGGGGTGGCTGTGAGTCTGAATGGAAGCAGCAGCAGCCAACCACAGTTGCCAAGGCAAACCGCTTGTTCCTGATGGTTGCCTAGCCCGATGTCTGTGAAACGGCACGTTGGAGTGCTGTCGGTGCCGCCTGGCTGATCCCTGACTGCTCCTTCTCCAGACGCTGTCATCCTGCTGTGGAAGGTGAATGACAACAAGGAGCCCGAGCAGATTGCTTTCCAGGATGATGATGAGGCACAGCTGAACAAGGAGAACTGGACCGTTGTCAAAACTCTGAGGTGACAGGCTGGGAGACCATGGGACTGATGGGGTATTGCTAAGAGCTGGCTGCATTTTGATGGTCAGAGTACACATAAGACATTGACTTAAGCAAAACATTTGCCAGCCGAAAGTTAGAAGGGGGAAAAAAATCATGATTAAAATGGCTCTTCCTAGCTTCAGATGTGAAAATGTCCTTAGTAAAACAGAATCTGTTTCAGAGTAGCCAATTGAGTACTGGTGGGAATTTCTAAAACCCCATTGCAAGGCATGGCCCTAGCATTCGCATTTAACTTTTTTGACCTTGAGGTACCTGCTTATACTCGAGTATAACCCGACCCGAATATCAGCCGAGGCACCTAATCTTACCACAAAAACTGCATTAAACATGTGCTGGAGAACTTGGCTTATACCCGAGTGTATACAGTAATTATGTTCTCCCGGCTTTAATTTGGATTCCAGGGGTCACTTGGAAGACGTCTATGATATCTGCTGGGCAGCCGATGGGAACGCAATGGTTTCCGCCTCTGTGGACAACACAGCTATCATGTGGGACGTCAGTAAAGGTAATGCATTTCTGTGGTAGGGGCGTTGGGGGGAGGGGGATTAGTTGTAAGTGTCTAAAAGTAACCTGTCCTATCTTTGAAGGCAAGAAGATAAACACCTTCACATGAAATAAAATAGATGGTTGGTTGAGGGTGGGAGGGACCGGTCCCATGTGCCGCGGGCCCCACTCACTTCTCAAGGCCGAGTCAGACTGTTGGAAGCTCCGCCGTAGTGTGAGCTGGTGATGCTGAGCAAGGTCGAGGAGGGCACCGCTCGTTGCAGACGTCGCCCTGGCGAAGCTTACTCAGGGAGATCAACAAGCCATTCCGGTGATGGATATTGGGTGTCAGACCAGGGCTCCGTTTTAGATGAGAGGAAATCAAGGCAAAGGACTTACCCCTCCCCTGTTCCCTGGTTTGTTTTTCTTTTAAGATCATTGTTTTAAACATTTACTTTCTGCTTGAGCCTTTGGTAGCAGCACCACTTCTTTCCCTTTCCCCCACCCTCCCACCCTTGTGAACCCATGATAAATTATAAATTATTATTATTTTCTTATCTTACACTGACCGCTGTCTCCCTTCACCCTTGTTGCTGTTGTTCGCCCTTGTTTCTGTGTATGGGTGTTAAGCGTCCATCATTGCTATTAGTTCCACCTTCCTTCCCTGTTCCCTGTGTTTTAAAGAACTCCCCCTTACCTTTTGCACAGTCGCTATGTATCAAAGGGGTCAGATGTTGCTGTGATGCTGAACAGGTTTCTGCTGAACTTCTAGACTAAGATGGACTAGGAAGGATGGCCCGGGGGTGTCTCCTTCTAAAAACCGGCCCCAAACAAACAAACAAACGTGTAGATGCTAACCCAATTACCTTAAATGTAATAACATCAGCATTTCACCTAAAAACCAGCCAGTGAAACCCACAGTCCTCTGGTTCACAGCCGTCCCTGGCGCAGAGCTGGGCAGCATTTGTCTCATTAGCATGTTTGAACCCATTGTTGTAGCCCCTGTGTCCATCCATCCTATTGCGGGGCTTCCTCTTTTTCTCCGACCCTCTATTCACCCACGCGTGGTATCCTTTTCCGTGGACAGCACCTGAGACAAAGCCTCGCCATCCTTGCTTCTCAGGCACGGCTCCTGGCTGTACTCCCTCCAAGACAGATTTGTGTTTGTTCTTCTGCCAGTCTGACTTTCTGTATGCTTCACTAACACCGTCCGAGGCATCGGTTTTCTGCAATCTTCCTCAGGCGTGGCCCTGCTTTCAGAAGTGAATGAGGTGATTGAAAATACCGTGGTGGCTTGGGTCACAAACACCTGAGCCCTCAAAGTGACCTCCTTGCTTTTTAACACGCTGAAAGGTCTTGTGCAGCAGGTTTGCCTGATGCACTATGTCTTTTGATTTCCTGACTACGGCTTCCATGAGCATTGATTATGAGTATAAGCGAGATGAAATCTTTGATCGCTTCCGTCGTTTCTCCCAAAGGTAATATGTGGTTAATGCCATTTTCACCTGCAGTCTTTACTAAAACGTGACATTTCTCCCAAATGTTTTCTTCCTCTTCTGTCCTGAAATGTGAGGGCTAATTGTCCCCCCACCCGCCAAGGGCCCTGGGAAGGAATCATGAAGCAGAGCTGGCATGCTCCTCCACCACAGACTGCGCCAGTCCATCTTCCAACCGTTGTGTGAGCGTCTCGTTCTTCCCAGTTCCTTGCCAGCCAGCCACGCCACCCTCTGCTGTTCTGAATCTCTGCCACCCTCTTCCTCATCAGCCCCCAACAGTCGAGATCCAGTGCCACTGTCTGTCTTGACCCCAACTCTAGCCATCATCCTGGAGAATGTCTGAGTATAGGTGGACCCTGCAAGGAGTCCTGGTGATGTAGTGATTACTCATTGGGCTGCTAACTTCTCAAGGTCAGCAGTTTGAAACCACCAGCCGCTTTGTGGAAGAAAGACGGGCTTTCTGCTCCCATAAAGAGTTAACTGTCTGGGCACCTCGTAGGGGCAGTTCTGCCCTGCCCTGTCGGGTCACTGAGTCAGTGTCGACTCGATGGCAGTGAGTGTATATGAGTATTAGGGTGGACCCTGCGGTGAGCAACCTCCTTCAGCCGCTGGTCCTGGCCTTGAACATTGCCAGCATGCACTGCTGCAGGCTGGATGCAGGCCACAAAGGAAATGGCTTCATTCCAGTGATGGTGCCAGGCGATCCGTAGGCAGATAAACTGTCAGGTCGTGATGGAGGGTGACAGAGTGGTCCGAGGCAGTTGTAGGTGGCCCGTGGACAAACATTGGGGAGCTGGCTGTGTGAGTGAGTCAGGGGTGAGCATCCCAGCCTGTGGGAACAGCATGGGCATCGGCTCTGTGGTGAGGGGAGCTCACTGCCATGCCCTAGGAACAGGTCAGGGCTGGGGGAAGGAGAGGCAGCAAAGGTCCAAGCACAGAGCCTCATCGACTAGGGACCGGCTTTCAGAGGCTAAGCAAGACAGGATGCTGAGCAGTGAGCACGAGGTTCTTGTTGCTGGGTGAAAAGATCTCTGACTGTCACGTGCAGAACTGCCCACAGGGGACACAAGAGAAGGCAGGGAAGGAGGGAAAGTCATTCAGGAGAATGAATGGGCTGGGTGGTAGTTGACGATGGCCGGTGTGAGGAACGTGGGATGTCTAGAAAAAGCTGACAGGATGGGTTGCTTTGTGGCCTAAGCTGGGCGAATCCTGCTCCCATTTTCTGAGGCTAGGGACACAAGAAGAGGAGGGGCTTGGGTGGGAGTATGGGAATGAAGACCAGATCTTGCCCCTCAGTGACTTTCACTGCTGTAGCACTGTCCCCTGGAACCAAATGTCCTGTTCGCTCGCCTCACCTTGTCCTCCTGTTCTCAGCACCTCAGGCTCCCTGCTCTGCACCTCCTCGAGCCCTGAGCCCCGGTTCCGGGCCTCTCAGCCCCTTCTGGCCTCTGTTACTTTCTCTGCCCAGCTTGCTCCCTGTATTACCAACACAGTCCACCCTTTGGGCCCCTGCACTTCTGTCTTACCCATCAGGACAAACCCCAGCCCTGCATCACTGTTACGCTGTACCTTTTTACTAGACCACTGAAAGTCATTCTCACCAACCTCTGTGGGGCTGGGGTGAGGGTGGGGGAGTCTTGGTGTCTCCCCTGACCTTTACTCCCTTCCCTTGTCAGGCTCAAGTGCCCTTCCCATTCTCCCCACTCAAAACTCAAACTCACTGTCTTTAAGTCGATTCCAACTCAGAGCGGCCCCACAGGGCAGGGTAGATCTGCCCCTGTAGGTTTCTGAGGCTGTAACTTTATAGGAGTAGAAAGCCTCATCTTTCTCCCCTGGAGCAGCTGGCTGTTTCAAACTGCTGACCTAGTGCTTAACAGGCCAGTGTGTATCCATTACACCACCAGGGCTCCGATTGTCCCCCCTGGCGATTTCAAGCCCCCACAGGTCTAAGCCTTCTTTAACCTCCAGCCAGCTTAGTGTCTCCTCTGGGTTCCCAAGCTTCCGGAAGGAGGAGAGAGTAAGGGCCGTGGAATCGAGGCTGAGATCTTCCATAGGCAGACCGTAGGACACATTAATGAGGAGCAGGGGGGTGGGCGGGGAACTGGGAAGCACCAGCTGGCAGAGCACTGAGTGAATGGCAGGTAAGACGGGGAATAAGGGAGGCAGTGTGGACCATTCAGTAGCGGAGAGGGACTGTTTTGTTTGCTTTGAAAGAAAGGCTAAGACTTGATTGCTGTGTGTACTGGTTCGACCTTCTGAACACTTTCCCTTTCCCATTCCCATCCATGCTGCTCTGGTTCCCGTCCTCTGAGATCTCTCCTCTCCTGGTCTACCATATCCCATCCCGACTAACCAGCTGCCCCTGAGTCCATTCGGTTCCCATGAGTGTCGGAGGAGCATGCGCTCCTCAGGGTGTTCAGTGGCTGCTTTCTGAGCAGTATAGAGCCGGGTCTTTTGTCGAGGCATCTCTGAGTGGACTCACCCTCTTTAGTCAGCAGCTGAGTTGGCACCTCTGAACCACTGATAACCCTTTTTAAAGTCTTTTCTAAACCTCAGTGTCTTCCTGTAAAATGCAGATCACTGTCCAGCTTGGATTCCTTGACTATCCAGAGCCCCTTTTTTGCACCAGAGGAGCCCTGGTGGGGGAGTGCTTATGCGTTGGGCTACGAATTGCAAGGCCAGCGCTTTGAAACCACCATCCGTTCTAGTGGCCCCTCCCGACACAGACGGGGCTTTCTCCTCATAAAGAGTTGCAGTCTCAGAAACCCACAGGGCAGTTCTACCCCGTCCTGTAAGGTCGCCAGGAGTCGGCGTCGACTCCATGGCAGTGAGTTTGGATCGATTTGGGTTTCGCACACGGTCTGTAGAATGTATCTCTTTTCTGGTCACCCATGGCCTTCCACCTCACTCACTCCCAGTTCCGGTTGTATATCATCGGTTCCGAAACCCTGGGTTTGTTTAGAATACTTTTTTTCCCTTCCTTTGCTCCTCCCTCGTCTGCCGAACTCGTTGAGCGGCACTCAGGGCCGAGCTCCTCTTGAACACTACCCCTATTTTGTTGGGTATCCCTTTTCTTCCCTCATCGTCCAGGACGTTCCCAGTTGTATTGGAGGGGCCTGCGGATGGTCTCTCCCCTGAATGCAGCAGTGAACTCCTGGACGTCATCTCTGCCCGTGGAGTCCGACCCAGGGGCTCTCGCAGCCACTGCCTGCTGAACGAGGGCGTGGTATAAAAGACCAGCACTAGTGCTGTTGAATCTGTTCTGGCTCATAGTGACCCCAAATGAAGAGTAGGACCACTCCAGGTGGTTTCTGGGGCTGTTTTAAGTCTTTGTGAAGTAGACTGCCGTAATACACACACACACACCCCACTACCACCACTATCCCCACTCCCACACACACACCCTCCCCAACACACACACTCACACACCCACACCCACACCACTACCACCACCACCACCACCACCACACACACCCTCCCCAAGCAGTTGGTGGGCTCACCCCTTCCAGGTCACAGCCAAGTGCTTTAACAACTGTGCCACTAGGGTTCCTTGTGGCCTGGTGTGGAGGGAATGATATGTAAACCATAATGCATACCATTTGTGTTGGAGCTGGTTTGGGTAATGCTGTTGTGTACTTTTAAAAAAATCTTCCTGTAGGACAGAAGATATCAATTTTTAATGAACATAAAAGTTATGTACAAGGAGTAACCTGGGATCCTTTGGGCCAATACATCGCTACCTTGAGTTGTGACAGGTATGTGGGTTTGCCAAATGGCCCCCATCAGTGTTTACTTGAAATTTTCGGCAGAGGGATTCTTATCATGACTAAACTGGTATATAAATCACTGTTTAGCTACAGTCCCTTACCTCCGTTAGTCTTAACTCACCCACGTCTGTTCTCTCTGAGGCTTGATTGACTGGGGGAAGGAAGGCAGGAAGCTCTTCCTAACATCAAATTGGCTCTTAATTACATTTGGCCTTCACAGGAGACTTTAAAAAAAAACAAAAGTGACTGCTTAATGGTGGGAGTGGACCATGTATTTCACTTGCTGATTACAGTGTACTGATACACTGATTTGAATGACAATAATTGAAATTAATATAAATTGTAAAAGTATGTTATGTCTGAGAAGAGGTCTTGGTTTGTATTTATTGGTATGGCTGTATTTCATTGCATTCTTGGAGCAAAGAGTTAAAAAAAAAATCGGGGCCACAGGCCCACAGATAGTTGAAATGCTCTTTATGAAGATCTATCAAACTACATTTCATAAAAGCAGATAAGCTCAAGATGGCAACCAAAGCAGTGTCGAAGAGTTGATGTTTATTTCTTTTACAGACAGTCCTATTGCATGTATATTTGAGGTGCTGTTCATTTTCGGAAACATGTATTTTATTCAGGCAGTCAGGAATGAAGTAATCTGATTACCTGGCGGGAAGAACGTGGGTTCTCAACAGACGCATGGACTCTCGGGCGTCTTCCTCACCTTCCCCAGTCTCTGAAAACAGGGCAGCTCAACACACAATCCGTTTCTTCATAGCCATACAAATGACCCCCCAGCCAGCCCTCCACAGTTGAGAAGCAGGACCAGGCCTGCACCACATTTCACTTGAGAAGCTCAAGCATTGAATGAAAACAGTCAAATTATGGTCTTCCCTTAAGATTGCATCATAGTTACTTAAGGGTGAGAGCCCTTGGCAAACGGCCTTACAGACTGGAGATCTTTTAAGCTGAGGGTGGGAGACCGCCTTTCTGCCAAGGGTATTCATATTATCTTTCACGGACCACTCAAAATTATCAACTTAAAGATGAACCTGCTCTCTTTGGTCAGACATTTCATTAACTCGCCCCTGATGCGCTGGCTGGAACTGCTGCTCTTTAGTGAGGCGCGTGCTGTCAGCTGGTCCACATGATGTCCCGGATGCTCCCCACCCCGGCTTGAAGCGGTGTTTGGTTTAGGTCATAGATGGTTTCTGCATGGAAAGAACCCATGTCCTACAGGAGGTCAACCAGACTCTCTTCTTCCTTCAGGGTGCTGCGGGTGTACACCACACAGAAGAAACGCGTGGCCTTTAATGTTTCCAAGATGCTGTCCGGAATAGGGGCTGAAGGAGAGGTATGCAGTGCTTTGGCTTTGCCTTTGAGCAGCGCTTTAGTTGGGCCTTAGGAAGTCCCGAGCCCCAAGTCTCCTTGCAGTTAGATAGTTGGCCTCCAGCACGGGACCCCTGAGTTACAGCACAAATCCATGTCAGACGAAGAAGGCTCTGTCAGCATGGTAGGCTGGTCTAAAGAGAGAAAGGAATTCTGGAGGCTAGATTGAACTAATGGTATAAAATAGTGGTTTTCAACCTTGGCTGCTTTGCGAAGTCACGTGGGAAGCATTAACAAAATATATCGCTAGATTCGATATAGATCTAATTCATATGGCTGGAGGTAGTTAGTATTTTAGTGTTTTTTTTAAGATCCCTTAATGATTGGTGTAGTGGTTACTTGTTGGGCTGTGACCGACCAGGTCAGCCGTCTGAAACTACCAACTGCTCTGTAAGAGAAGGACAGGACTTTGCCCTGCAAAGAGTTTCAGTCTCAGAAACTCACAGGGCAGTTCGACCCTGTCCTGCAGGATCGCTAAGAGTCCATGTCGACTCAGTGGCAGTGGGTTTGGGTTTCTGCTGGTGTTTTTCATTTTCACTTGATTCTAGGGCGCAGTGAGGTTCGAGAACTGCTGATCTAGGAGTCATATCCCAGCGTTAGGCAACAGGAAGGTAGAAACAAACACATCCACAGAGAAGCATTCCTAGGCACACACAGCTTTATTTAACTCAGTGGGCCCTGCCTTCTCATGAATCATTCCTCTCGCAGTGCTTCCTATGAGTACTTGATTTGTGATATATTTTAGTTTCTCTTGATAATAAATGGCAAAGAAAAATTACAGGCGTTGGCCAGCCTCATGTGAATGTAAAGCTGTAGGATGATACCTCAACGTTGTGTGCCACAGGCGAGAAGTTACCGCATGTTTCACGATGACAGCATGAAGTCTTTCTTCCGGAGGCTCAGCTTCACGCCGGACGGGTCCTTGCTTCTCACACCAGGTTTGTTTAATAAGCGATTTTCTTCTCTATTGAAACAAAATTCCTAACACACAATTAACCACCTTCACGTTCAGTCCTAATTTGTGTGTTCAGAATTGGTGCAGCTATCACCGCTATTTCATTTTTAAACTTTTCTGTTGATATTTGAGTGCAAAGTTCGTTTTCAAGACTTTTTTGTGTTTGAAGAGCAAACTGGTTTTCTGTTAAACGGCTCTCTCGTACTTGTTGATTCATGACAGTGACCCCTGTCCCCATGCTGTCCTAGTCCCTCCTCCCTGCTGAGCTTTATCCCCAAGCACATGCTGCCCTTGGTCAGGAGAGCACCAAGGAGGCCTGTCTATTATTTGGCTGAGAGTTGAGCCACGGGGTGGGGGATGGTTGGGGTGGTGGTGAGTGGATTAAAGGGTTAGCCTGACTGAGGGCTGTGATCTCTGGGGTAGTCTGCCTCTGTTTGACCTGTAAGCCTGATCTTTGTTCATATTTTGCATTTTGTTTTTCATCCTTTCCCCTACTCTCTTCAGGACCTCCTATTTGTTATTCCTTTCATAGCAGTTGCCAGTGGTAGCTGGGCACCATCTAGATCTTATAGTCTCAGGGTTGTGGGGGCTTGCATTTGTGTAACCCATTAGTCCGTAGGACCAAGTATTTCCATGGATCTCTGGTTAATAAGCAGAACATGGCATGTATGAAATACCAATCTCGGAAAATTGGAAGCTGTCAAAAATGAAAGTGGAATGCATCAAGATTGATATCCTAGATATTCGTGGGCCTAAATGAACTGGTTGGGGCTGTTTTAGTCAATTATATATGGTTTACAATGCTTGGAATTACAAACCAAGAGGAATGCTGTCATAGTCATTGTTTAAAAGAACATTCTAAGATCTATTGTGGAGCGAAATTTCTTAACCTGGCTCTTCTATCCATATCTCTGTAACTTCCACCAAATGATTAGTCGCCACTCCCCTGGCTATCGGGATGAGCTGCCTTGGCAGGAAGAAAGAGAAATCCCAGGACCATCAGAAGTGGAGCACACTTGAGATCTCTTGTCTGAAGAGGCAGAGACTGAGACCAGAAGCACCAGAGGCACCAGAGGCTGTGGAATGGAGACCAGGAGACAGAGCAGAAGAGCCAGGTCCAGTTAATACAACTTTTACTCAAATGCACCCACCACCACGAAAGATGTAATGAAGAAATTAAAGGCTTCTACCAACTTCATAAGTCTGACATTGATCAAACATGCAATCTAGATGTATTAATAATTGTTGGTGATTGGAATTTGAAAGATGGAAACTAAAGAGGAAGGATCGATAGTTGGAAAATAAGGTCCTTATGAGAAATGAAGCTGGATACTGCATGATAGAATTTTATGAGACAAAATTCTCAAACAATATCATTGATATCACATGCAAGTAAAATTTTGTGAAGATCATCCAGCAGCGGTTGCAGCAGTACCTTGACTGGAAGCTGCCAGAGGTTCAGACTGCATTCAGTAGAGGATGTGGAACAAGGGATATCACTGCTGATGTCAGCTGGCTCCTGCCCGAAGGCAGAGAATATCAGAAATATGTTTACTTGTTGTTGTATTGTTGTATTGATTATACCAAGGTATTCGACGGTGTGACTCTTAAACTATGAATCACGATGAGAAGAATTAGAATTTCAGGACACTTCATTGTGCTCATGCAGAACTCGTACATGGACCAAGAGGCCGTTGTTCAAACTGTACAAGGGAATACTTCATGGTTTAAAATACAGAAAAGTATACATCTGGGTTGTATCCTTTTACCAGACATATGCAGTCTGTATGCTGAGCAAATAATCCGAGAAGCTGGATTATATGAAGGAAAACATGGCATCAGATTGGAGGAAGGCTTGTTAGCAACCTGCGATATGCAGATGACAGCCCTGCTTGCTGAAAGTGAGGAGGACTTGAAGCACTTGCTGATGAAATTCAAAGATTGCAGCCTTCAATTGGGATTACAACTCAACGTAAAGGAAAAATACACCCTCAGAACTGGGCTACTACACAGCATCCTGTTAAATGGAGAAAAGACTGAAGTGGCAAAGGGTTTCATTTTATTTGGATGTACAGTCGACGTGCATGGAGACTGGTCCAATCAAAGGAGGTATTGCATTGGGCAAATCTGCATAAGACCTCTTTAACGTGCTGACGAGCAAGGGTGCCACATTGAGGTCCGTGCCAGTCCTCTGGCTCCACAAAAGGGCAGAGAGTGTAGCTCCACATCACCTCACAGCCCCTAGTTAAACAGGGCAGTCAGACGTTCTTCCATCCTTCATTTGTCTTTGCCCTCTCCTCACACCATCCCTCCCTTGTAGGGTACCCTATTTCTCTGCTGGGTTAGACAATGTGTTACAATGTGTGGTACCCACACAGAACTGGTGCTTTTGTAGTTTATTAGGGAAGCTAACAGGTTTCAAAACGTTCAGGATACAGTTCTTTTGCCTGGAAAGTACCTTTTCTGGAAAGCATCTTTTCAGCCACGCTGACAGACATGTCTCTGGTCTCAGCCACATGGTCCCACGGCCTCTGCCTTGTTCCCATGGACCAGGAAGCGCACCACGTGGCCTCACAGTCTTGCTGCTCTGTCTCAGAGCCTGAATGTGGCTCTTCTGCTCTGTCTCGTGATCTCCGTGCTTCAGCCTCTGCCGCTTGAGACAGCGATCTTGCAGACACTTCATGGGCTTATCTTTCTCAGTGGTATTAAGATGCTCACTCTTTGGGCTTCTGAGATGAGTCACTTAAATGTCCAGTGGAACGGCCATCCCTTCTGTTAGTGTTTTCAAATACTCTGTTTGCATGGTCCCACCCAGTCCTTTGGTGGGAATTACAAAGAGAGCCACATTAAGGGATTTCATTGTATACCCATGCACCTGACCCTAGCTGTGGTATTTTCAGTTGCCTCGTATGCATGTGAAAGTTGGACCAGTGAATAAAGAATATTGACGGTGAACTGGTGCGTTTGAATTCTGGCATTGGAGAATATTGGAAGTACTGTGGACGGTAAAAGAACGCACAAACTTGTCTTAAAGGAAGTACATTCAGAATGGTCTGTAGAAGTAAGGATGCCCTACTTTGGACGTGTTCTCAGGAGAGATTGGTCCCTGGAAAAGGGCGCCATACTTGGTAAAGCAGAGGGCCATCGAAAAGAAGGAAGACCGCCAATGGGATGGATTGCCGACATGGCTACATCAATGGGCTCAAACACGAGTCACAGGGAGGTTGAGACAGGACGGGGCAGTGATTCCTTCTGTGACCGATGGGGCAGCTGTGAGTCAGAGCCGACTCAGCGGCACGTAGCAGCAGCAGCAGCTCAGTGTAACACAATCTTTAGGGTTTACGTAAATGCGCAAAAATTAGTAAATGAAATTACAAAGATTAGAAAAGAGGTAAAACTTTCTGCGTGCGGTAGAGTTGTATCTAGAAAACTTAAGATATTAAAAAAATACTATCAGGGAAAAGAATGGTCATGTGATTTGATATTATAAAATATATGATTCTCTTATCTTTTTTTCTGTACTAGCAATACGTGTTTAAAAATAGAAAAAGGAAAACTACTCGTAGCAGTCAGAACCCATAAAATACACGGTGGTAAATGTAATAAGAATGGTCCGGGACCTTTATGAAGAAGACTAGGAAACGACAGGAAAATTGTAAAACAAGTTCTGAACAAGTGGAAAGCTTTATCACGTTGTTAAGATTGATGTAATGAACTGATGTGCTTTTTTTTTTTTGAACTGATGTACTTTCTAGTCTTGTTACGCTAGAGATTTCTATGTTTGTCTGTTTGTTTGACAAGAAGCACGAGAGAGAGGAAGAAAGAGAAACCAAGGAGAAACAATAACCATAAGAATGCCATTCACCCAAGTTCAACAATAGAATAAAATCCCAGCTCTACCTAAAAGATCAACCGCTGAAAAAAAGAATAGCCAGACAAATAGGAAAAATAATATTAAAGAAGCGCTTTCCTCACCACCGTGAGAAAGACGGGCTTCCTCCTCCCATCAAGAGCTCCAGGCTCTAGAAGAGAACAAGGGCAACATATGTCCAAACATGCCGCATTCAGTTGATGTATGGGTGGTCATGAGAGTTGTACGAGCCACCAATAAAATGATTTTAAATAAATAATAAATAAATAAATGCTGACTTAAAAAAAAAGTTTCTGGCTCAGAAACTCATAGGGGTCGTTCCGCCCTGCCCTGAGGGCCGCACCGAGCTGGCAGCAACTCGATGGCAGTGAGTTTGGCTTTTGGTGTCCTCTCATCTCATGTCACACGCTGCTGCTATCAGACTACGCCTGTATTGCTATCGTAAGCGAAGAGAACAGTGGGTTGATCAGAACAGAGAATCCAGAAAAGATCCTAGGACATAAGGGAATTTAATAACCTTGTGGTACTTCAGTGGGAGGAATCAATTATTCAGTGAATGTGCTGGTGTGGCCAGAAGTCTGGAAGAAAATTAAATTGGACCCCTAAGATAAGTATCTACAAATAGGACTCCTACTACATAAAATAGAAAACTAAAACTCTTGCAGGAAAATCTAGAAGAACTGTATAGGAATGAGGAAGACCTAAGTCCTGTTTCACTATTATTCAAATGTATGGTATTTAACTGTCAAAAGGTAACACAAGCTAATTCAGTGAAATGATAAAGTGTGCAATAATATTTGTGGTACAGGAAGTAGCCAGAACAGATATACAATGCGTTCTTCAGAGCTGACAAGCAGCACCAGAGAGCGAGAGGAAGAGAGAGCACGGAGGGAAGACATGAGTGGAGGAGTGCAGTTCATAGAGGAGTAAACGTTTGCTCAACACCTACGGGAAAATGTTCTAGAACTCACTAAGAGTTGGGCAAAGACAAATGAAAAGTGCTATAATTAGATACCGTTTCAGACTGGGGAAGAAACATAAAAAAGCCTATTGCTGATGGGTATAAGAATGAACTTGTTGCTGGGGGAAATGTCAGTTTTTAGGGCTTTTTGGAAAACAAGCCTCAAGAAACAGACTCACTGTCATCAAACCGAATCTGAGTCCTACTAACGGCGCAGGACAGGAGAACTGCCCCTGTTGGTTTCCAAGACTACCTCTATGGGAGTAGAAAGTCTCATCTTTCTCCCGAGGAGCGACTGGTGGTTTTGAGCTGCTGACCTGGCGGTTTGCAGCCCAACCTGTAACCCACTATCCCACCGGGGTCTGGTAGCAGCTAAATACCTACACCTTTCCATCCATCTGTCCCATGTCTGACACTGATTTCCTTGAACAAAAGCAGCGTGTGTAAGAGGATAGGTTCAAAGATAGAGCAGTGTTCTTCATGGTAAAATCTTAAAGAGAATGTTGACAGATTAGGGTATGTTCATACCAGTGAATATTACTAAACTGCTCTGGAAGAGTGCTGGTGCCATGTAAGTTGAGAGTCATGGAGAATATTTGAGAACAAAATGAGAAAAAGTATAAACACCATATTTTGAAAAGCAGTTGGATGAGAAAAGGCAAACGCCTACCATATAGGTATAGACATGTGACTGGTGTAACGCGTTACAACGACTGTGCTGTCCTGGAGGAAATTTAGAAATGAAAGCAGGGGCTGCTGACATGGATCCCTGGAAGCTGGAAGAATGAGATGAGAAGGTAGCCATGCAGAAAAGTCACTGTTTAAATAAATAAAAAAGCTTCTTTTTTAATACTTTTGCTACTCCCCTGAATATACAAGTATATGGAACGGTCATATGTAAAATAGCTTATGTGTGTAGCTGTATAAAGAAATAATAACTTCAAATTCAAGGTCAGCAGTTTGAAACCACCAACCGCTCCTCGGGAGAAGGACGAGGCTTTCTACTCCCGGGAAGAGTTAGCAGTCTCGGAAACCTCCCAGGGGCAGTTGTACCCTGACCTATAGGGTCGTTATGCATCGGAATCAACTCGATGGCAATGAGAATTTGAGGTCCGAGTATTGAAGAGCTCCCCTAAGCAGGCTGTTCCCAGAACAAAGGCAGATATTCTTCAAGGGCTGGCGACTTCAGCCGGGGACTAGATCTCCTGACTGCTTCCTGGCTCCTTCAGGCAGATGGCAAAAGACCCCAGTCTCACACTATGGAAGGCAACTGAGATGGGCAACTGGGGAGCAGAGGACTAGAGGCCCGGATGGGGTCTGGGAAGCTGGACCTAGGCAAGGGGTTGAGTATTAGACATAGGGAATTGACTGGGTCCTAAAACTAAGGTCTTTTGTAGCCAGAGTTCTGGCTGTAGGTGCTTCCCATCCAGGGCTCGAGGGCACCGGAGGGAAGGAGGGAGGGCTGCTGAGTTCTCAGAAGGAGGTCACAGGTAGGTAGGGCTGGAGTAAGGGCGAGGCCAAACAGTGACAGAGAGTGTACATTTGCCCGTAGTCATAGAAACATGGGTCAGAGAGTCCATCTTTAGGGGGAAAGTGGTTTACGAACCAAAGTGGACTGTGCTGGAGTTTGTGTGTTGAGGACCAGTAATACACCTGTTTCTTTCCCCCAGCTGGATGTGTGGAAGCTGGTGAAAACGTAACCAACACCACTTACGTTTTCTCCCGGAGAAACCTGAAAAGGTATGTCGAAGACCCCCCACCTTTTTGTTGCTGCCAAAACGCAGCGCCTCCTTGTGAATCTCTGGTTTTTCTTGTAGGCCTATCGCTCATCTTCCGTGTCCTGGAAAAGCAACGTTTGCTGTTCGCTGCTGCCCAGTCTACTTTGAATTGAAGCCGGTAGTGGAAGCAGGTATCATTAGAGCCAGCCTGGCTGTGTAATGTTTTCTCTCTGGGGCAAGTCACCGGAGAGGAAGGGGAGGGAGAGGGGGAGGTGAATATCGAGGTTTGGTTCAGTTTAGTTGCTCTGGAAAGATGGCACAAAAACGGATGGAATCAAAGTATGTGTCTGTTTTTCCTGCCTTTTCTGGAATATGCTTTGCATATTTGGGGGTTTTTTTTTGGGGGGGGGCTGTTCCCTTCCTCTGCCCCTGTCTCACTGCAGGCCCGGAGCTGATGAACCTGCCGTACCGCATGGTGTTTGCGGTGGCTTCCGAGGACTCCGTGCTCTTCTATGACAGCCAGCAGTCTTTCCCCTTTGGCTACGTGTCTAACATACACTATCACACCCTGAGCGATGTTTCTTGGTGAGTGGCTGCTGACACCGCCCTTCCTTCTGTCCCTGGAAGCTTTTGGACTAAGATACACTAGGAAGAGAGGGATCACCTTCCGAAAATCAGTGCATGAAACCCCCCAGGGTTCAGTCTGACCCCGGCTCGTGGCTGGGGTTGCCATCCTGCTGGGGTCGGAAGTGCCCGGCAGCAGCTAGCCAGTGACTGGCGAGTGAACAGGCTGCCCCGAAACAGGTCTTCAGGTGAGAGTGCCTGTTGACAGCACCAATGGCTATTTTTGCTCACCTCCCCCCACCCCTTTTTTTTTAAAGGAATCAGCATTGTGGGGAAGTCATTCCTAGTTTCCCATCATGTTTGCTTCCTGTCTTCACAGCAGCTGGTTTGATGCGCTTCAGATTTCCCTATGGGAGTCACCCGGCTTCAGTAAACTGAGGGGTGACTCCGAGGGTTGGGGACTGGTAGACTTGCAGAGCTGGTCTCAGGAGGAAGCCCACGCTGGTCTGTCAGGGCCGACTGCTGGGGCTAGACCTGGGCAGGGATTCTGACTTCTCTCTCCTGTTGTGGGAACAAGGTCTAGCGATGGGGCCTTCCTGGCCATCTCCTCCACGGACGGCTACTGCTCCTTTGTGACATTTGGGAAGGACGAGCTGGGAGTCCCTTTGAAAGAGAAACCCGTTTTGGACCTGCGAAGCCCCGACACAGCAAAGAAAGCAAAGGGTCAGACACAACAAGGGTCTTCCCCTGGACCCAGATCGGTGGAAGGCACTCCCACCAGTAGAACCCAGGACCCCAGCAGCCCCAGCACCACCCCACCTCAGGCCAAGCTGCCCCCAGCCCCGGCAGCAGTCAAGGACCCGCTCTCAACCACGCCCAGCCTCAAGGGCGCTCTGCCAGGGTCTGCAGAGGAGAAGACCCCACAGGCCAGCGGCCCTGGCGGGAAAGCCCCCCAGCCCCGCAGGGTCACTCTGAACACGCTGCAGGCCTGGAGCAAGACAGCACCCCGGTAAGAGCTGCTGACACCCCGAGAAATTGTCCTTGTGGCTGTTACAGGTGAGATTCCAGCCAGCTGTCCTCAGATCTGAGGGTGTCTCCTGGTTGTGGGCTCCCCCGTTCCCACCGGTAGGCTAACATGCAGACTCCCTACTCCTCCCCGCCCCAGAGCACTCTGTGCAGGTCTGGAGGAATGCCTTCTCTCGGCCAGCCTCCGTGCCAGGCTCACTTTCCCTCCAGGACAGAATGTGTGTCCTCTGGCTCCCACTGCTTTGCCTCTCTGTTCAGACCCTGTTCCTGTCCCAACTCTCAACTCGCCCTGCAGCCCGAGAACTGGGCTCTCACTGCTGCCCCCGTGTGGTCAAGAAGCAGTCAGACTTCATGTTTCTTAGTTTGCCTGAGTCTGTGCTTCCTCACCACCCTGCCCGCTACCTCCTCACCCTCCAATCTGGGAGCTTCGAATGGGAGCTTCGCTGGGGCTGGGCTTGGGGGCAGGCGGTGAACTTGTTGAGGGACGATGCGTGATGAGTTTGTGTGTTTGAGATAAGCTTGTTTGTCACTAAAGCCTCCAAGTCCATTTCGATTACAGTTTCCCTCTTCTTTTTTAAGCCCCTCAGACCACACTTTAGGTTTGAGGGGTAAGGAGTCTGGGGCTCTCCAGTTTTTGCCCAGAGCTCTTGATTCTTGAGACTGGGTGTGGAGCCACTGGTGCATTTTAAAGAGCAGCTCTGTGCTCTGTAGAGGAAAGGCCTTTTAAATATCTTGGACGTGGAACCCCCCACCTCCGCCCCCGCTTTCTCTTCTAAAGCCCTTGCTGTCAAGCATTCGCAGCTGCTACCATGTCTTCCTCCCCTTAATAGTGGATGGAGAGAGTCTGGGTTTTCCAGAAGCTCCGGGACTGTCTTGGGTCCTCCAAACGAGGAGGCGTGTCTGACAGCCGCGAGCGTGGACGACAGCACACAGGGCCTGAGAACTTTGGAAGTTACTGTGATGCACGCAGTAGTGCGACTCAGTCTCTAAACATCATCCTGAGGGTGGAGGTGGTCATACGCTCCTGCTCACAGCGACCCTGTGCACACACACTGTCCGGCCCTGCACCGCCCTCACAGGCATTGCCCTCTGTGAGTCCATTGCTGCTGCCACGGTGTCAGTCCATCTCTCCCAGGGTCTCCTGTTTCCTCCCAACCCTCTGCTTCACCACGCGGGATGGCCGTTCTCCAAGGACTGGTCTCTCCTGACAACATGTCCAAAGTATGTGACACCAAGGCTTGCCATGCTGGTTTCTGAAGGAGACTTCTGGCCGCACTTCGCCCGAGACACATCGGCAGGCCATCCAGCGCAGTATCCCACACCGTGCCTGATGATCAGCTGACTTTTCAAAGCGCCTTCCCTCAAGTGTCATAAATTTGGCATCTTGCATAAATCATTCACACCCTACTGAATGATGCATCCCTTTTCTCTTTTTTTCTTACTCAAGGAGAATAAACTTGACGCCTTTAAAAACAGACACCGTGCTGAATGCTGTGCCGTCCGGTGTAACCTCCACTCCCTCCACAGAGGAAGCTCAGTCAGGTAAGTGACCGTTTTACTGGTGAAAACAACGCTGGCTCTTTTTGGAAATGAATACCGCCTGGTGTCCAGTGAGTTCTGAGAGGCCGGGATTAGATTCGAGCCATCGTTTGAACGCGGGCTGCCTGTTTATGACTCGGCAGGAAGCCTTCCTCCCTGAAAAAGCAGTCACCAAGAAGAGAGACGGAGAGGGTGGGGCTGGGAAGCTAGCCTAGGATGTGTTGGCATTCTGGCCGGGTCCCCGTGCTTTGTTGTAGGCACTGTGCACTGCCCTGGGCACTGCAGGACCTCCCCCTGGACCATCTCTTCCCCGGTCACGATGACCAGATAATCCCCGCCCCACGCCACCCACGCTCATTTTGAACCAGTGGTCCACAGCCTTCCTCCTCCAGCCACACAGGGTCTGGCTAATAATTGGTTCCTTATCTTGACACTCAATTGATTTTTAATTTTTTTTAAAGATCATTTTATTGGGGACTCGTACAGCTCTTATAACGATCCATACATCAATTGCATCAAGCACATTTGTACATATGTTGCCATCATCATTTCCAAAACATTTTCTTCTATTTGAGCCTTTGGTATCAGCTTCTCTTTTTACCCCCTTCTATCCCCCCTCCCCCCCATGACCCCTTGATAAATTATACATTATTATTATTTTCATATCTTACACTGACCACTGTCTCCCTTCCCCCATGGTTTCTGTTGCTCATTCTCCCGGGAGGGTGGGGGGGCAGTGGTTAAGCATTGATCATTGTGATCGGCTCCCCCTTTCTCCCCTTCTCCCCCTACCTTCCTCCACTCCCATTTCTGTTCCTGAGGGGTTTATCTGACCTGGATTCTGTGTGTTCTGAGCTCTTATCTGCACCAGTCCACATGCTCGGGTCTAGCCCGCAGGGAAAGGCAGGACTGCGTTCATGATAGTGGGGGTGAGGAAGCCTCAAGGAACCAGAAGAATATTGTACGTTACATCGGTGCTATGCTGTGCCCTGGTTGACTCATCCCTTCCTCGTGACGCTTCTGTGAGGGGATGTCCCATTGTCTACAGATGGGTTTGGGGACTCAGTTGATTTTGTAAACATCAGCCTTATTTAAAGAAGCCTCTATGTATTAGCCGACTTTGTTTCTTCATGCTGCAGAGCCGCCTACAGAACCTCAGTGCTCTGAGCCCAAAGAGAAACATCCCCGGCTCAGTGACAACAGTGCCAGCACCCCGAGTTCGGACCCTTGAGGAGCACTGACTTGCACACCGGGGACACCCATGTGCACAGAGGAAGGCGGGGCTGGGGGTGCCCAGGACCAGGGCCGTCAGCCAAGCTGGGAACAGTCCTGTGCGGATTGTGTCCTGTAACAGGAAACACACATATCCAGATTTTCCTCCAGAAACATGTTTGTCGTATCCAGTGTATGTTATTTTTATTGTGGTAAAAGGTATGTCTAATGAAATATGTTGCTTTTCCAGTAGTCTCGCCATGGACAGCTTTGTGACATTGATTGAGCTCATCTTAGCAGCCACCCCCACTGTTGCTGTAACCCGCAGAAGCAGCTCCCCTAAGTGCCTCCTAGGCAGTGAGCCTCCTTTCCCCCCACCCTGCCCAGGTGACCACCAATAAGGCTTGGCCCCCAGATGTTGGCCTGCTTCACGTCAGCGATGTCACACAATAGGTATCTGCCCGCCTGTTGACTGACTCAGTGCCCTCAGCCTAGCGTTCCAGGTCCCTCCGTGTCTGCGCGGCGCGGCAGGGTTTCCTGTCTCTCCCTGACCAAGGGACAGTCCAAAGTTGGTGGAAGAACAGAAGTGGAACATGACGGAACTTTTCTTTCTCCCCGCTAGTCCTTTGAGGGGGCTGATGACATCATAAACGAAGGGGGCTCCTGCCTTCTGGCTGTGGTTCATCAGCTGCAGTGAACCCTGGTGCTTGGCGTACACTTGAGCTCAGGCGTGTGAGCCTTTTAGTGTTGTAGACCAAGAAGCAGCAAACTTGAGATGGAAGTGCCAACCCTGCCCCTCACAGCAATGTGAAAACGATTCGAGAGTCAGCAATATATTTTTACGAATAAAGGTTTAAAGTAACATTCTAATGAAACTGTTAGTTTTATTTTCCGTCTGACTTCAGAGCTACATGTACGTACCGGAAGAACCACGCATGGCTCTCGAGCTGCAGTTTGCCGACCCCTGGGCTAGACCATCCCCCTGAGGAGCTGCTTCCACAGCATTTTAGTGCAGTCTCGGGGGATGTCGCCGGAATGACACCTCCACTCCCCTGGGAATCCAGGTGCTTTGAGGAGGCTCCTAAAACCAGAGTCCGAGAGAGAAGAGCAGAATTTGAGGTCTGTTCCGTTGAGTGTCAGAATGTTGTTTTCAGATTTAGCTTTGACTTCGTTGGTAACTTTTTGGGGGGGTTACATCTATTTTCTGAATCTAAAGGTAACAGTGCTCAAGTGGATGCCGACTCACGTCCCCATGAGTAGACAGGGGCTGCCAGGACAAACTTCACAGGAGTAGAGAGACTCATCTTTCTCTTGAGGAGCTGCTGCTGGTTTCAGCTGCTGGCTTTGCTGTAGCAGCGCAGCGAGAACCCCACCACGCCGCCAGGGCTCCTTAGTGAACTACCAAAGCTCACCGCCATTGTAACGGCTCAGATCAACTCCTCGTGGCCCTGTGGGACAGGGCAGAACTGCGCTCTGGGTTTCCCAGACTGACTTTACGGGAGTACAGAGCTCGGTCCTTCTCCCAAGTGGCAGCTGGTGGTTTTGAACTGCTGATGAGTAACCAACTGCAATTGAGTTAGGAGTCACCCAGCAGTAGCCCTCAATATTTTGACCCCCTTCCCCAGACAGATTAGATTATACTTTGCATACAATGCAGCCTCCTAGTAGGTTGACTTTTAAAATCTGGTTTTCCTAAGCCAAAAAAAGACCTAAAATTAATTTCCATAGCAACCGATCCCTGCCTTTGCTTCCCTGTGTCCCTCGGAGGGCACGGTTTCTCCTCCTGTAGAGTGAACACGAGAGCTGTGTTTAAGATGTTCGGAGTGACGTCACGGTAAGATTACCGAGTGGCGTCCGTGGCCCAGGGGGGCCACCACAAGCCACATCACGGAGCGTCTGGGGGTGTGGCTCTCTGGAAGCTGGGTGTGACCACCGCATCTCATGACGCCTGCTTGCCCCCATGGAGCATCCTGCCTCCTAAGAGGGAGAGAGCCAGCAAGCAGCCTGCAGGTCTGAAACTGGCCTCATGGAGGTGCTGAGCGGAAGAATGCGCTCCGAAGGCAGCCGCAGCAGAGGAGAAGCACCTCACTTGTTGCTTAATCCTCAGCCCCGTAAACCAGGAGCTGAGCAGGCACCCCTGGAGACGGGAAGGTGGGAATCTCGGGGTGCACACACACACACACACACTCAGTCACTTGGAGTGTTGCAGGCATTAGAGAGGAGAATGGGTAGAAAGGCCGAGTCTCTGTTTTGCACAGTGGTCACCCAGCTTGGCTGCTAGCTGAAAGCGCAGAGCGCTGCGTTCGCCCGAGGTACCTTGGACGAAAGGCCTGGCAGTTTGCATATGAAGACCACACTCGGACCCCCAGGCTACTGCTGAGTGGAAGGTCACTCAGTAGCAAGTGGGAAGTGGGGTCCCGGCGCAAAGAGTGACCTCCTGGAGAGCGGGTCAGCTGCCCCTCCCCACCACCACAATGGGGGGCACCGCTGGGTCTTCAAAACCCATCTCTTGAGCAGCAGTCCCGGGAGGGCGGCATTTGCAAGAACGACTCATCATTTGGCATCCTTGGACATAACACGATGGTCAACAAAGGGCTAGATGAGGTTACTTGAGGTCACCATCTGAAACCGTGTGGGCCTATTGTGGTTGTTGACTGGGGGAGCCCTGGAGGGAGCAGAAGAAGCCCACCTTAGAAGGTGTGGTGGCTCTGTGGCTGCCGGCCCTCCCTACTTTGGTGTGAGGCCAGGTACTGGCGGTGTGTCTTCGCTGGCATCTCCTGGCAGACAACATTACCTGCTATCACAGCGGTAAGCAGGAGTGGGGCGGGGCTTGTGGAGGGAGAGCTTGACTTGTGAACCCTGGGGCGGGGCAGTGATGAGAGGGGCAGGCCTTAGAGACAGGTCAGGGGACCGCTCACGGTCAGTCCTCATCTCATTTTCAGTGTGTTCAAAGCACATTCGGTCTGGAAGTGGTGTCACCGGTGTGGCAGAGTGGTCGGTGGCCATGTGAACGGCATGAGTCAGAGCCTGGCTCTCAAGGGCTTCATGTGGAGAGAGAAAGAGGGCATCAGGGTCAGGCTGGGGACTCCCAACACCCTTCCTCAGCTTTCGTCTCCATCCCTGCTACCTTTCACATGTGTGTGTATGTGTGCAGCGAGATAGACACGTCTTAGACTAGTGATTGATCTCCATTGCTTCATCCGAAAACTCAGGTGTCGCAATAAGTCTCTTGGGCTGTGCAGAAAGAGGGGCAGGAGAGCAGGAAGGAAACATCGAACGAGGTTGCAGGCAGGTAAACCAGATGGTCGTTTCCTTCCCTTGCGGGGCTGGGTAACCTGTGCAGGAGTCTCAGGGGCCGCTGTCTTCACCAGATCTGCCCCCAGTGGTGCTTCCTGCCCTTGAAGGCTGAAGCACGGCCCAGACAGGGCCTGCCTTCCCAGCCCGCTGCCCCTCCAGGCCCTGGGGGCCGCTGTACCACAGTGCCTTAGGCACTGGCTGGACTGAGGGTGGAGCCTTTGCCCAATGGGTGGGGGGGGGAGGGTGCTTCAGGGGTGAGGAAGCCAGAGGAGAGGATTATGAGAGGAATACATGGATGTTCATTCAGGAACAAAACAAGACAAGCATCTCTTGCAGAATCTAAATTCTAGTTGAGGGAGCCCAACATTAGACTAATGAAATGATGTCGTTTTAGAGAATGACTGGAAGAAATGAAAAGCCCTAGTAGCCTACGCAAAGGACCTTGGTGTTGTAGTGGCTGAGCATCAGGCTGCAGTTAGCAGTTCAAAACCACCAGCTGCTCATGGGAGAAAGATGAGGCTTTCTGCTCCTGTAAGAATTATAATCTTGGAAACACAGAGGCAACTCTACCCTATCCTATAGGGTCCCTATAGGGTCTCTATGAGTCGGAATTGACTCTGGCAGTGAGTTTGGTTTGGAGTTTTAGAGTGGTCTACACATCAGTCAGCTAGCTGCAAGGTCAACAGCTCAAACCCACAAGCTGCTCCACAGGAGAACGATGAGGCCATTGGTTCCCATAGAGATTTCCAATGGGAAACTCCAAGGGGCAGCTGTACTCTTCCCATAGCATCGCTAGGGTGGGAATCAATAACAGTAGGTTCCGGAAGAGCTAGAGAACAGTGAAGGTGCTGGGTTGGAGGCAGGGGTTACTAAGGAGGAGGTGACCCACTTCCAAAAGGATTACAGCTGGAAAAGTGGACGGAGCCCAGTTCTACACTGACATAGACCAGATCACCATGAGACGATATTGACTCCTCAGTTTGAGGTGGTTTTTGACAGTAGCTGAGCTGTAGGAGATAGCGTGGAATAAGGGATTTCCTTCACTTTGGCTTCTAGCTTCCAGCTTGTAAACGAGGGAACACTACTTCCATTAACCTGGATCCCTGACAGATGTGGTATTTTTTATCCAAATTTTGGCTCAGAAAGATGGTGTGAAGAAACAAGAGCTAGCCTTTTAAAGGTGCTGTCAGGATTGGAGGAAGCTCATTAACTGCAATATGCAGATGATGCCTAAAGGAGAAAGTGCTGGAGCCCTGGTGGCGTGGTGGTTATCATTGGGCGGCCAGTGGGAAGGGCAGCAGTTCGAAGCCATCAGCTGCTCCTCAGGTGAAAGGTGGGGCTTTCTACTCCAATAGTTACAGTCATAAACCCACCTGAGGCCGTTCATTGTGGCCTGTCATAGAGTCTCTGAGTTTGAATTGAATGAGGTAAGTACATGAGTAAGCCACTGGGGGGCAATGTTGCTAGCTCTTAACTTCACAGTCAAATTCATTAAAGCCAGGGCTTTTTGAAGGAAATACTTTTTAAAGCCCTTCTTGCAGAACCTGTTGGATGCCATCGGGTTGATTCTGACTCCGTGTCCCCTCATGATGCAGTTGAACAACTCCAAGGAATTCTGCAAATCTTCTTGGCAGCCAACACCCCCATCTTTGCGGAGCTGGTGGGATGGAGTCAACTACCCTGCGTGAGCAGCCCAGTGCTTGGCCACTGCGCCCCAGATAGCGCAGCTGTGAGGCAGAGCTGTGTGGGCTACTGAGGTAAGGCGGTCAGGAAATACAGGAGCCCGAACTATGAGCAGACAGGCAGCTGATCACCTAGGGACCCAAACTATGAGCAGACAGCTGATCACACAGGGACACACACGTATATGCACGCACTGTGAGTATGCGCAAACGTGTGCATAGAAAGCTAGACACAAAAAAGAGCCCTGGTGGCACCGTGGTTAAGGCACTTCATTACCAAGCTGACGGTAACAAACCTGCCAGCTGCTCTCATGAGAACGTTGTGGCCTTCTGCTTCCGTGGAGGTTTACAGCTTTGGAAACCCCACAGACCAGAGTCGGAATCATCGCTTCTTGACCTTTTGGCTAAGATCAAGTGCAGAGTTGGAAACGACTTCATAGCAATGGGTTTTGTTTTTAAAAAAATCATTTTATTAGGGGCTTGTACAACTCATCACAATCGCAACGGGGTTTTGGTACCAAGTGTATCATTTACTTTTATTGAAATAAATGTAAAAAGTCCCAATGTGGGAGGGGGAGAGGGGGAAAAAGGAAAATGAGCTGATTTCGGGAACCCAAGAGGCAAGCGAGTTTTGGGAATGATGAGGGCAACAAATGTATAGATGTGCTTTACACAATTGATCTATGTATTGTGATGAATTTTATGAGCCTCAATAAATTGATTTTTTTTAAAAAGTCCCAATGCTCCACAGATCTCTTTCTAGAGCTACAGAATGATCGATTCCTTCTCTCGGCTCTCAAGTCCGTCTGCGCTACAAGACCACATCTCTATGGATGATTTTAGGGTACAAAAGAGACCCCTGTAATCTTAACTAGAATTTACGGGAAGCCTTTATC